CAGTCACTGTGGTCTTGGCTAACTGGACCCTTGCAGTCACTCTGGGTTCATTACCTCTGCTATCTTGGAATGTCCTGGACAGTAGTTGCCAGCCTTCGGAACTCTATGGTCCCTTCTGTATAAACTACCTAATCTTCATCACCATCCCTCACTGTGTGGTGGCCTTGGCTCTGCCTCTTTTCAGCTACCTGAACATCGTGTTGGTGCTGAAGAAGCAGGAGGCTGCCATGGAGAGTCATGGAGGAGGGGGGTCCAGATTAGCTGAGGTTCCAGTGGTCCGGACCAGCATTGCTATCTGGCTGCTGACTGTGGCTTCCTACACTCCCTTCTTTGCTGGTGTTCTGGTGGATGTGGCTGGATGGCATTGCCCTGAGGATCTATATCCTGGCTTCTTTGTGTTCCGAAATGTGACTGCCATTATGATCACTCTTAATGCTCTAGGGAACCCTGTGCTCTACACTCTCAAGGTGAAGAGCCTGGGCAGCAAGTTTCTTCTCCTGTTCTCTAGGTGCTCTCCCAACAACCAGATCCAAATGCAAGACATTAGGGATGTTAGGACATTTAATCCCTGATGACTTCCTCTTCTTCCAAAACTGGATATTGCCAAGAACAGGAGAGGGTGGGCATCATCTACACTAGATTCATTCTGAGGTGAGGGATAAAGTAGGGGAAGAGATTGCAAACTGCATATAATGCACAGGGGAAATTCTTCAATTATCTTGATAGGATTTAATAATCACAACTAATCTTTGTCATAGTGGGAGTGGGTTAGGGATCTGTGTGCTTTTTCTCCTTGCTATTGAATAGTCCATTTGGCTGTGTAGGCAGCAGGGACAGGGGTTAATTTGGATATAAAATGAGAAGGATTTGAGTCACTTAGGAGAAATCAGGCTGTCTCATTTTGGTGGCTGCTCCAAACTTGTTTAAAGAAAGGCTTAAAGTGTGTGCTTGACTGAGAGGGACAGGGAGCCCTCAGGATTATTGACATGGTGGACTGAAGTCAAGGTCACTTTAACTTTCTGATGGAGAATTCGAAGACAGAGGGAGACAGTAGCGGAAGGGATCTTTCCATATACCCCAGATGTCTCCTAGATGACATCTCCTCGCCTCTGCGAGGCAGAGAACGTTGGACCTGGTTCAGCACTCAGGGGTTGGACAGCTCCCACCTTACCAGCTGGGCTGGAGGAGTTAGTTGCAGGGCTTGAGTCCTGAAGTAAGCGGAGCCAGCGTCCTGAGGTACCTCACACTTTTGCAGTATTCCTCTCCACTCCTGGTGCTCTTGAGAAGGGGCTGGGAAAGAAGGTGAAGGAAGTATTCTCTGGGATTGAATGAAGGAGGGAAGGTAAGAAGGGGAGGGAAGTCTGATTCTTCCGGCCAGATGCCTTCCCTTTTGTTTGTTTTCTCTAGACCTCACCTTAGTATTTTTCACTCACTCTCCCAATAAATTTACTTTCTCTTGATGTAGTTGCTCATTGCACTGCTTGTGTGAGTTCCAGGAGCTATTTTCTCAACTTGAGCAAGTGTCTGGCACTATGATCAGAAAGCACCTGAGGCAGGGATGAAGGGAACACAATCCAAACTGAATTGCTCCAGGCCAGTGTGAACCTGGGGAATTTACAGTGAAGACCACAAACTGTATTTTACTGATGGGAAGATGGAGGTTAGATTTGATAGTGCTCTCAGTCAAGAAGGCAGAACTGAATACTAGTCTCTAAGGTATTTTGTCTTGACGTCCCAGTCCTCCTCTTCCCTCTCCACCCCTTCTCCCATGCTCATAACAGGGATTTCTGTCCTTGGTTGGGGTAGGGGAAGGAGTTGGAACTCAGGGACATGCCTAAGAGGCAAATCACTCCTAACCTTCCCATCCACTCCTATGTATGCATGTATTTATTTTTGGACTTGATCTGTGATTTCACTGGGGAAGGGAGGTCCTGAGGAGGAAACTATTTAAGCAGATTGGTACCTTCTTGGCACTTACGGTCTTAGTTTCATGAGGGACTTTGAAGGGTTAAATGAACTACCCCATGTATCAGTGGCAAGACATGGACCCAGGTCTAAGGTCAGCTTTCTAGTCACAACATCTAGCAAAAACAAGTCACAGGCAAGTCAGGACATCCCCCTGTGATGTCATTGGTCCTCTTTGATCATGAAGGACAACAACAACAGAACAATGAAGAACAGCTTTTAGCCACAAAAGAGACACCTGAGGGGAAGTGAGTGGGATGGGAGAATACTAGAATTCTTATAAGGAAAGGATTTTATAGATTGTCTGGTCCAAATCCCTTCTTTTTACAGAAGATGAAACTGCATCTCAGTGAGGACCTATTTCTATAAAATTGGTATTATCCATAGTCTATGACTCTGAGTGAGGCTCTGGGCATCCCACTAAAGTTCTTAGGCAGTAAATAGCAGGGTTCAAATCCAGGTTCAGCCTGGCACAATCGATGTGATTTTCACCACAACAAAAGAATAGTCTCTCCTTTAGGTCTTTAGCGACAGATTTTGTTTGTTTTTAAAAGAGCCAGTGGAAGCCTTCACCTCATTCTTTCCAATCTATTGACCTCTCTGATATCCCTCCAAAACCCTAAAAGCCTAGAGATCTACAAAGTGCCAACAAGTGAGGGATGCAATCACTTGCCATACCCTAAGGAATGCTCAGGCCAGAACTTGAGCCTCAGCCAAAGGAGCACAAAGAAATGTCACCTAAAAGGCTGGAGAGAGGAGGAGAAAAATAAGGATCAGGAGGGATGGGTGAGGCATGAGGGTCAAGTTGTTTGAGCACTGCATAGGAACAGACCTGAGAGCAGAAGAGAAAGTAGCTACCCAAGTATTTACAGCATTTACTCTGTACAACAGGGATCATTATCATCTCCAGCAGATGGCGAGTGTTCCCTTGGATAGCTTTCTTGTCTTCCAGGGAAAAATCACTAAGGCTCTGTCTTCTGCTCTAGTCATTGGAGTGCTCTTAGCTCCTGTCTTCCAGCCCCTCTTGGAGAGGGGGCAGAAGAGGGGCTATGGAAATGTAGAGGTGCCACCTAGGCAAATAACCCAGAAGGAAAGACCTGAATGTCTATTCCTTACTCACCTTCATCCCTACCCCCTCCAGGTTGTAATCCTCCACCTCAGTTTCTTCAAAGAGACGGCTGAAGAGGAGGGACTCAAGGGAGCTCTCACCACTTCAAGAAAGGAAGGTCCATTTTGGGTGGCCTGTGTGACAGTCAGTGTCCCATTCTAGACATTGGTCCTTCTCTAACTGGCACAACCAAGCAAAGAAAGCCCAAGCAGTGTTTTTACCAGGCTGGATGTGCTTGCTTTAGTTTCACAGAGTCCCAGAAGGCTCTCTCAAACATCTGTCTAATATGTCCCCTTCTCTCCTCCGACACTGCCACCATTCCAGTGCTGGCCCTCATCAATTCCCCTCAATTATTGCAATAGATGGTTTGTGGTTTGCCTTCCTCAAGTCTTTCCCCACTCTAATCCATCCTTCATTCAGCTACTAAATCACTAAAATGATTTTCTTACAGCACAGGTCTGATCATGTCAGTCTTGCACCCTCCCAACCCCAACAAATAAACTCCAGAAGCTTCCACTTGCCTTCAAGAGCAATGCTCAGTTTGGCATTCAAAGTCCTTCATAACCCAGCCCTCTCCAACCTTTCTAAGTCTTCCTACATCTTACTCCAGGATAAGTACTCTTCAGTTCAGTGACATTGGCCTCCTGGCTGTTCTACATATGAGAAATCTCAGCTCCAAACATTCTGTCTGGCTGTCCCCCATACCTGGAATACCCTCCCTCCTCCACTCCAACTACTGACTTCTCTGGCTTCCTTTAAGTCCCAACTAAAATCTCACTTTCTACTGGAAGCCTTTCCGAACCCCTCTTAATTCTAATGCCTCCCTTCTGTTGATTATTTCCTACTCATCCTGTAATACCTTACTTTGTATATATTTATTTGCATATCTTTCCCTTAGACTGTAAGATCCTTGAGGGCGGGGGCAGTATTTTATTTCTTTTGTATCCCAAGCACAGCACTTGGTACTTAGTAGATACTTAATAAATGCTTACCGATTGATTGGATTGATTGATTGATGGGAAAGGGTGAGATGAAAATAAGTTTCATGTAAAGATATATGTAATAAATATATAAATCATCCTTGAACCTGGTCCAAGGACACCCCCTCGACCAAAGACTGGGGAAGGAAGCTTGGGGCTGCCCTGATCCCTTGGCTGTGTTCTTCCAAAGCATGTGATCTTGGAGAAATCCAGATCATAGAATTTAGAGACGGAAGGAGCCTTAGAAATTTAGTCCAACTGCCTCATTTTAGAAATGATCCCTTCTATCATGATCTCCAGAAACTCATCAAGTAGAAAGATGACATCAACTCTGAAATACCTTCTCAGTACCCCGTGTCCCTGCCCCACCCCCATTGGAGGTGAAGGGTGAACTTAAGGGACCTCCCAGTTCCTCCATTTAAGGAGGGGGCCCAGGGTAGTCACCTCGTTTAACCCTGGCTGCAGGACTTCACCGTGCCCTGGCGCCAGGTATCCTCGCCCTTCCCCCTTTCCGGCTTCTTATATAGTGTCTTTCCCCCATTAGATTGTGAGCTCCTTGGGGGCAGATTGTCTTTTGCCTTTCTTTGTATCCCCAGTTCTCAGCACAGTGCCTGGCACACTGTAGGCACTTAAATAGATGTTTAATGACTGTTCACTGTTGTCCATCTCAAGACCCTACGAAAACCTACTAAGCCTACCCAGGTCCCACAAAACTCTGGAGGGACTTGCGTACTTCTAAAGAACTACGTGAGCTTTCCTTCTACCCAGCCTACCCACGTGCAAGATCAAATACTTGGCGCTGTACTATCTGGGTCTAGTAGGTGGAGGGAGCGGGGATCGATTCGTTTTGCCTAGCTATGGCCTTGGCTAGGCCCGGATTGGAGGATCCTGAGGAAACAGATCACATACTTCCGGGTTCTCTCGCGATACACAGACCTTAGGGGGCGTGGCGCGGGAGTTCGGCACGCGCTTGCGCCGGAGTCTCGGAGGTGGCTATGGCTTCTCGAGGAGTGCGGGCTGTGTGTTCCGAGTGCGAGGAGGTACCCAAGTACCGCTGTCCCGCCTGCCGCGTCCCGTAGTACGTGAGGGGAGTAGGGAGGGGGGAGTAGGGAGAGGGGAAAGGAGCGGGGAGGCCCCCGTGGGCTCTGGGCCGGGACTGGGGAGGCTCGTGGGAGGCGGCGGCAGTTCCGGGTTCCAGCCCCAGAGGAGCCCGCGTGCGGAAAGAGGCGCCCGCCTGCTCTGACCCACCTGTCCCTGGTTCTCTTGCAGCTGCTCCGTGCCCTGCTACAAGAAGCACAAAGGTAGGGAGGGGTGCGGTCCCCCAGACCCCCAGCAGAGCCCCGTGAGCTCGCCCTGCGGCCCCGCCCCCCCCCGCCGGTCCGTCCTCTCCTGTGGCATCTGCTTTGTCCTGTCTTCCCTTTCCTGTTCCCCATTCTCTCCTGTTTACTCTCTCTCATCATTTATCCCGTCTCTCTTCCCTTCTCCCTGCCCTGTCTCTTTCCCCCATTCTCTTCTGTCCCGTTTGACTTTCTTCTCTTTCATCTTATCAGTAGCTTTCTCCTCATTCTTTTCCTCTCATCTTTTTGTCCCTCTTCTCCCTTCCCCCTTTCCCATTTCTGTCCTTTTGTTCCTTTTCCCATTGTCTCAAAATCGAAGAGTCATGGTGCTTTTTTTTTTCTTTTTACTGTCTCCTGCGTTTTGAATGGTAAGTAAGTGAAGGCTATAGTTTATGCCCTTTCTGTTCTTTTCCTTTCTCCTTCAATCCATCCAGGCTCAAGCTTGCATGGGGTTTGCCTGCTTTGTAAAGAGACTTTGGTATTTCTTAATTTTCCAGAGCAGTGCAAACCCTCTCATGTTGTGAAAAATGGAGACTCAGATACACATTTTGTGAAGACAAAGATTTCGGAGGACAAAGGTGAGTGACTTTTTGGAATGGTGAAACTGGGAGGCTTAAGGACTAGATAATGGACATTTTGATAGGAAAGAAAAAAAGTTGAAAAGAGTAAGGAAAGGAGAGAATAACAAACATGTAGGTGATAAAATTGTGCTGCATTTTTGTGGCAGGGAGAACATTCCAGGCAGTGCATAGGGACTGGACCCGAAGCATCCAGTGTGAGGAAGGAGACCAGTACCTGGGCCTTAGAGAAGGCGAGTAATGTGTAAAAAAAAAAAGTGTAAAAAAAAAGTTTAAGAAAAACCTAGAGACATAGAAAGGAGCCAAGTTATGAAAAACTTTAATTCCAGCTAGAGGGATTGATATGTGATCCTGGAGGCAAGGGGGCTACTGGAGTTTTGAGGTGGGAGTGGGGCATTGGGGTGACATGGTCAAACCTGTGCTTTAGGAAAGCCACTTTGGTGGAGGATGGATTATCATAGGGTGAGATGTGAGGCTGGGAGACCAAATAGGAGGCTTTTACAGTAGAATAAAGGAGACCTGAACTTGCTTTTAGGCAGAGGGGGATGAAGGCAGGACAGAGAATTGACAGAGAAAAGCTATAGGATGGGATGGGATCTGGACCATGGGTAAACATAATTTTGAAAAGTAGGAGAGAAGGTTTTTCTTCTGAAATGTTATGGAAAGAGGAAAGGACAGGTAAAATATTCAGAATAACATTAAGGCAGAGGAGGGAAGTTGAGGGAGCTCACATTTGATATTCTCAGTAGTAGGAAGTGAGGTCACCCAGAAGGGGATAGAGGGGGTAAAATGAGGTGTTTGAGAGAGGTTTGGTAGAGTCATTGTGGGAGTGATATAGTAGTAGGATAAAGAGTATTGATTAGTAGTGGAGATGCGTTGGCCTAGTTATGGGACTTTGTCCATTCAGCTACTTGGGCATGGAGAAATCGATTGAGAGGAATTCCCAAGGGTTCAGAATTGGCAAAGAGTGGGGTTTGGCCAAAAGTCCTGGGTAGTGATGGATTCAGGGATGCTACAGACAGTGAAGGTTGGCTGACATCTTTCTGCCCTTTTAGTTAAGGGATTGAGAAGAGTCCCATGGTGTATTAGAAGCCCCACACCCAAAGCAAGGGGTTGTGAGAGAATTGTGGGAATTGAGTTAACCCTACAAGCTTTTGACTCGATTCCAATTTTAGCTCAGTTTCCTTTCTGTTCAGTTGTGGGGATCTAGTGCACTTTGTCTAGTGAGAAAACTTTGTTCAGTTATGGGAATTGTGAGAAAACTTTATTGCATTGTTTTGAACTAAGCCCTTCGTGGCTAGGAAGCTGGACCACCTCTACCTGTTGCTTAGAGATCTGTAAGTAAGGGCCTGGGTTATGCTGACCGGAAACCTAGTCAGATCCAAAGACAGATGTGTAAGGAGTTTTCTCACAGTTATACATCTCAAGTAACTCATGTCTTATCTGAAAACTGCCCTGTACTGGTCAGTCAGTTACTGTTTCCTTGTTCCCTTGATTGAATCCAGACGTTTGTGGGAAGGGGGGGAATGGGACATCTCTTTTTCTGATTTTGGGGAATTGCACCTGTTTGCTCTCCCCGTCCCCTCCCAACTTGGAAAACTCCTAATCTTTCCTCCAGTTAGAAGTCAGATTACTTATCTTGCATCTTGGTTTATATCCCATTGTTTGCTTTATTGCACCAAAAATTTGCATCCTCCTATATTTCAGTTGAGGAGGCCTGGTTCTGATTAATTTGCTATGCAATTGGCATGCATTATGTACTAAATTGATATGCTTAGAAGCTCCAATTTGTTTTCTCCGTTGTTTCAGGTTTCACTTGACACTTGACACAGGGGCAGACATAAGGATGGAGAGTTCAGTTAGGTGTTTAATGAGCATCTACAGAACTGCATGCTGGAGCTGTTTTAAGTTCTTCAGTGGGACACATAAAATTCAGGCCTCTGTCAGGAGGATGGCAGGAATTGATACAGTGGGTACTCTTGCTAAGTTATTCCTTATAGGAAGTTTTCCCTGATCCCCTAAGTGGGGTATTCCCTTCTTCCTCCTTAGAACTTCCTGAGGACATGCCTTCTGCATACCTCCTTTCCTCTTTTCACACTCTACCTTGCATTCATTGATTTGTTCCATCTTCCAGTGTGGATTGTAAACTCCTAGAAGGCAAAGATTTGTTCTCTGGTGGGAATGGAGCTGGATCTGACTATTTCCTTTCTAGAAGTTTTCCACCCATAAAACTTCATAGGCTGAGTACTTTGGGTTCCTAGATTTGTAATGTTTGTTCGCTGACCATAAGCCCCCTTCCCTAATATTGATAAGGCAGGCAGTGAGGCCCCAGAGAATCATGGGATCATAGAGTCAAAGCTGGAATGGACCTCAGAGGCCAGAAGCTTAGGGAGTTGATTGTGAGATTATACTGGCAATAACTATCAGAGGTAGGATTTGAATCTAGGTCCTGTGGGTTCCACTCTTCTTTGCAGGACCCTTCTTTTGGGCATCGCAAGTGGCATTGAAGACATTTCCATCTGTTTAACTGGGGAAAAAACTGAGCAAATAACAAACACTTGTCTTCTAGGTAGTGATTGGTCAGTGGCTGATATTCTGGACAGTGATGATGAAAAGGATAGAGTCTCTGTTGGGAAGCTGAAGGACCTGGGTAAGTCAATGTCCTACCTCACATTTAATCCTGTATGTGGTTTTGTAATCTGATGGGCCCATAGCATAAAAAATGTTTGCATGTATTAAGCCGAAGTATGACTGTTGTCTATGAACACAGAACAATTATTGACAGATTGCTTAATTAGGATCCTCTTTATAGCTAAGCAACTGTTTGTTACAATTACATACAGACCCTGTGGCTGCCTGAGAAATTGCCAAAAAAAATATCGCCAGAGTTTAACTCCCAATGAGAAGAGCCTTTCCATATGGTGGAGAGGACACTACCTATTTGTGTGGCAATGGACGAACTGTTTACTCTCTCCAAGCCTCAGTTTCCCCATTTGTAAAACGAGGGGGTTGGACTAGATGACCTCTGAGGTCCCTTCTGGCTCTGGGATCCGTGACCCTGTAGGGCTGGCAGAATATCTGTGTGACATTCGAGTCTGTGCCTGCCATCTCTCTCAATTTCAATAATGACTAAAGGGAAGGAGATGTTTATTAAGCAGATGTATGCCAGGAGTGTCAGAGCGTAATCCTGTTCAGTGAATGGGAAATTATATGTTTAGCATCTATTTCAAGCACCTGTGGGGTTTTGTGGTTTTTTTTTTCTTTCTGCCAGGCAGTGGGGTTAAATGACTTGCCCAGAGTCACACAGCTAGTAAGTGTAAAGTGTCTTGAGGCCGGATTTGAACTTGGGTCCTCCTGATTCCAGGGCCAGTGCTCTATCCATTGTGCTGGTTTTTTTTTTTTTAAATCGGTAAGGATACTACCCTTCTCCTTTACACACACACACTCACACTGTCTCTCCCTCTCTCTCTTTCACTTTATTTTTAACATGGGATACTGGGCCACAGCAGTAAATTCCAAACCAGTGTCATTGCAAATTTAGGCCTTTTCTCTCTATGGTGGTGTGACTTAAAAGTTCTGTACCATCTGGTGCTCCCCCCCACCCCCCATGAGGGATACTCAGCTGAGCACAGGATAGAACCTGAATGCCTAATGATAACAAGGTTCTATTCACTCTTGGCCTTTGTGGGTTTGCTGAGGCAGGATAATGTTGGAGGACGTCGGACTCCTCCACTTAACTAGTGCTTTCACCCCACAGCAACTGTCTCCAGGTGTTATCTTCATTGCCTCCACTCCTTACTGCCTCTGCTGTAAGGAGGCCTTGGAAATGAAGTCATTTGTAAGGTGTGCATTAAGCCTGCTCAGTCACACCTAGCCCCAGCACTGATAAAATGCTTTGTCCTTTCTCAAAATTGAGTTGTAATTCTTTGCTGGCTAAATGCCAAAAAGGGGCTAAGAACTGGCTTCTGAAATTTTTGCTTGACTTCCAGGTGCTTCAGAAGTTTTTTGTCTTTATTTTTTTAAGGATACTGAAAAGATCCTTACTTTACAATTATCCCAAGAGTCTTAACATGGTTGATTTTGTATCTTTGATGTTGATGGTTAATCTTAGGACATCTAGTTTCACCTTCTATGTGGATGTTGTAATAGGCAACAGGAGGCCAGGTAATCAGGTAGCCATGTGTGTTTAAAGCTTTAGCCCTAGTAAAAGCTGTGTACTTCCTTACATTGGATTCCCTGAAACTCCAGTGGAAGGGGTAGTGCTTTTAGTACTGTTGTGCTTGCCCTTCACGTTCATTCTTGTCTGTTTCTCAAGGGGACTGTAAGGAATTAAGGAACTTACTGACCAATCCCCACCTCCGCCAGTTGCTGGTCAGCATCGACCAGGCAGAAGACAAAGAGACCCTCATGAAAAGTCATATGCAAGAGCCCTTGTTTGTGGAGTTTGCTGACTGCTGTCTTAGAATTGTTGACCCTCCTGAGAAAGAAAACTCTTTGGATGTGGAGGGGTGAATTGGGCTTGCTATGAGTTCCTGCAAACGTGGAGAAAGAACTAGGCAGCCTCTTGGAAGGAGGAAACTGGAGGTCGGTGCTCTCACTCTGGGGTTTAGAGTGGAGACTGGATCACAGGCAGTTCCAGGACCTGATGAACAGGGCTCTCCCCAAGGGAGGGGCTCAGCTGGGAGGCTGGCTCTTGTCAAAGGCCTGGGACTCTCCAGCCTCTACTTTTCATCTTGCCAGTGGACACAGTGTGCTCAAGCCCAACAGAGGTAACTTATTTGGTGGGAAGAAAGACTGATAGTAACGTGGACTGGTTCTTTAAAAAGTTTTATTTGTTCATGGCACACATCAAAACAAGCCTAGGAGAGGGGGTTGTTTGGCCAAGTTTCCCTCTCCTACATGTCTGAGTAAAACATCGGCTTGGCTCAGCTTGGCTCAGCTTGTTCTTGGATGCCACTAGTAATGACATTTAAATAAAATGGAGAGTTACTGATTTTAGTGCAAGCTGTTTTCATTTTCTCCAGATCATCATCTTTGGTGTAGAACAAACTAATCATCTGAAGTAACTTTGGATGGTGTCAACATAACACTATTATCTAGACTTTATCAAGTAACAAGTCTCTGCCTTGATTTCAGCCACATTCCTACTGCTTTCACCCAGCACGATTTGCAGAATCCCACTCTAAAAAACCTGCACTGACCCTTCTCCCTTTCTACCTGAAGGAGCTGCCCTGTGCCTGGGGAGCATGAGCCCAAAGGCTAAACTGCCGAAGGCCCTCATCACTGCCAGGGCTGCTAACGTGCTTAGAATCAGTGCTTCTAAGAGTTGGGCTCGGGGAGGTATAGTCTCATGTATAATTGAGGTCCCTGGGGGAGGATGATTGGAATACTGTGTTTCATAAATGCATCAAGAGGCCGAGTCCTGAAGGAAAACAAAGTGCAGTGCAGGGAGACTTGCCCCACCTCAGAGGGTGGGCAAGGTTCAAGGGCAAGAAGAGTATCAAACTGGAATCAATCTGTGTCTGTCCAGCAGGATCTGATTAAAGCCAGTGTTGTTGTAGTTCTGTGGCTCAGGACTGATGTTGGCATAGAGCAAGGGGGACTTCTTGCAGTGAAACCTGATGGAGCCCTAGAGAGACAGTCAAATGGCACTTGGCTGTATTCCCTGGAAGAACACAGGCCCTGACCACCCACGTTCCAGCCCTAAACCTCTTTCCACACCACATCCTAAAGGATGTACAGACGACCCCCCATCATTATATTTTCACCCCCTTGTAAATAGGCCCTGGAGTTGCCAACTCATTTTCTAGTGACCATTCTCTCCTACTTACCTCATTAGTCTTAACTAGTAAATGAAAGCTCACATTCATTTGGTTAATTAGCTGCCAGACTAGGGTGTGACCTGACAAAGCCATAGATTCCAGCCATCTGCCCAAGGCGAGGAAGGACAGTTGGGAATTCACAAGCTGTGATTCTGTATATTTCATTCTTGCTAATTCTTTGGTGAGGGGAAGAAGGCAGTATTTAAATGAAGATATTTCACTTTGATAATTAAAATGTATTTGTGCTTTCCACAACCCTTAATAAGGTGTAAAATGGGGTGGGGGAGCAAAGCACAAGAGGGCTTTCCTGATCCTCCCAGATACCAGAGCCTTCTCTCCCATGAATTAATCAACCAACCAAGAAACATCTATTTTTATTTTTTATCTATTTACACCACATCTATTTTTATATACTTATAGAATGTAAGCTGCCTGAACACAAGGATTATTTCCCTTTTCATAGCAGGCACATTAGTAAATACTTATTGAGAACTGGGGCTGTGAACCAAATTATTATGGAAGTACTGAACAGTTTGAGAGCTTACACAAAGAAACAGCTGGAGTGAAAGAGACTTTCTGTAAATTCTCAGCTGTAGCTCTGGAAAGGAATCAAGCCTGAATCAGATGAAATGCTACTAATGCCTGTTTCCCCTTTAAGGAAAAGCAATCCATTGTCCTGGCATGTAATTTCTTTAGTTCTCCCCCAGCAGGTTCCTGGAATTCTTGTGCTCCGTGTGTCCAAGAGTGAGCCTACCCAGAAGCATTATAGCTCGGTGGCTAGAGAGTTGGTCTTAGAGTCAGGAATTAGTTTGAAACCTGCTTCAGGTCCTTGTTAGCTGTGTGACCCTGAGCAAGTCACTTAACCTCAGCCCCAGTTTGCTCATCTATAAGAAGAGAACAGTAATAGCACCTACTTCCTATGGTAGGTAACTTAGTAATAAAGTGCCTTACTAAACTCATAGGGCTATATAAATGTTAATTATTATTGTTATTGCACTGCTTTTAACATTGGCAGTGGTAGCCACTGCCCCAGAGTGGTCATGGGCAGAATCTGCTACTCTCATCTCATCTTAATTTAATAGAGAGCTCTTCCTTACCTGGGGCAGTGCTCTGATGGAGGTGATGCCAGCCTGGTCACGCTGGGTGGCCTCTACCTTGTAGATGTTGCTGTGGCAAGGAATCTGCAGACAAGCCTGCAGGGACAGGTTCCTCCGCACCCCGATTACACCCACAGGTGCATTTGACAGCAGGAGTCCCAGGGGCCACAGCTGGATTGTCTCACGTGGGGGCCGTGGCAGTGTGGTAGAGAGGGTGGGGCAAGGCACTTTGGCGAAGCAGTTTTCTTCCACACCATCCAGTTCTATGGATACTAGGGAATCCATTTTGGCCTTCAAAGAACACCCACACAAGAAGCCTTTTACCATCACAGGCCCTTCCCCCGCCTTGCATGCACCAGCAACTAGAACTGTCTTCTAGTATATCATCTGGCAAATCATTCCAACATTTCAAATCTTTGGGTGGAGTTCCGAAAGTGGAAAGTTAGGCCACTCCTCAGAGGGTCGGAGCGGGTGGGAGTCAGGAGACCCAAGTTCTAGGTCTGCACCTGTCACTAAGTGTGTAGCCTTCCCCTCTGGGGAAATGAGGGAGAGTGGATGAGGTAATTCCTAAAGTCCTTTTCCATCTCTAAAACAGGATTTCCTAAGGTGGCTTTGGATGGTAAACAGAAATAATTTTATGAATGTGAAAGTCCCCAGGAAGCCCCCAGAATGCCCTTCTCCTCTTTCAGGGTGATGGGGTAAGGCTGGGCACAGGGGAAGGCACTTACCCTCCACTTCCGCCAGGCACGCTTGATAGAGGTCGCAGCAGCATGCAGCCTTTGGATGTGTTTCCGTGTTAGCCAGGAGCGAGTCACTGGGGGGGGGGTGTTGTTTGGTCACAAATGAGAGAAAGGTAATAAAGGGCTGTTCAAGACCTCAAGTTTCTATGTGCTGAGGGCTTGCTTCTGTTGTGACAGCACCTTACTGGGTAATCTCGCACTTGATGCCTTGGGGCAACTACCGTAGCTGTCCGGGATGGGGGGCAGCAGGGTGCAATGGCCCTGGGTTCAAATTCCACTTCTGATACCTACCTATGTGACTCTGGGTCAGTCACAAACTCTTGGGCCTCAGTTTTTATCTGTAAAATGAGAGGGCCTAGTTGGCCTCTGAGACCTTTTCCGGCTCTAAATCCATGAGTCTTGTGATCCACAAAGGGAAAGAGCATGCCAAGACTTCTGGGAGATCTGGTCTGTGGACCAAGGAATCATGGCCCACTGTCATTTCTCCTTTGTCCTCTAGATCAGGCCCTTCACCTGCCCAACCTAAATGTCGATGGATAGGGTCAACACGAAAAGATCACACCAGACTCGGTCATGGAATCGAGGGAGCTGTGTCTGTGGACCGACCAGTGGTGTGCAGACTTTCTTCAGTGGGGATCTCTGTGCTTTTTTTTTTTTTACTCTACAAGTAGTGGCTGGGAAACTACCACTTTTATTTTTCCCTAGTTACATGTAAAAACAATTTTTAACATTTGTTTTTAAACTTTTGAGTTCCAAATTCTCTTCCTTCTTCCCTCCCCACCCACCCTCCTCAAGAAGGCAAGCAATTAGATATAGGTTACACATGTATAGTCATGTAAAACATCCATAATAGTCATGTTAAACATATCCATAATAGTCATGTTGTGAAAGAAAACATAGACAAGGAAAAAAAACCCTCAAAAATAAAGTTAAAAAAGTATGCTTTAAACTGTATTCAGACACCATCAGTTCTTTCTCTGGGGATGGACAGCATTTTTTCATCCTAAGTCCTTCAGAGGTGTCTTGGGATCCCTGCATTTAAATCTTAACCTCTCGTGTCCTGATGACTCTCTCTCATGATTATTGGTGGGAGGAGAATGGATGAAGGAGGAGCCTTAGTAAAGTACTTGCTATTTGGGTTTTATATAGCTGAACTGAAGTCAGTTAAATGCAAAATGGTAAGAATCATTGCGGGAGGAATATCTGGCTTTTTACCCAGAACCACCAGCAGTTGCTCTGGCTAAAGACCAGAAGAAGACCAGGGAAGCTGTTTCCCTGGAAAGGCCACCCTGACCAGTGCTGAGCCCTACCTGCTTGTAGAAGAGTGGCTGCCCATCTCTGCTTCTCCAGCTTTCTGCGCTGGTGTCGTCGCCAACTGAACTGGATACATCTAGCACACTTATTCAGGGTTTGCACTCGCCGGTGTTCTAGCAACTCCAGCTGTGGGGACAGGAGGAAGGGAGACAGTAAGGAAGGCCAAGATTTCCATCCTGATCAGATGGAGTAGAACTCACAGTTGGACAAGATAATTAAGGGTTCTTTCACCTTAGAAAACTGATTTTCATATACTTTTACCATTTATCAATTGGGCAATGGTTCTTATTCTTTTGTGTGTGTGTGTGTGGGGGTGCAATTGGGGTCAAGTGATTTGCCCAGAGTCACACAGCTAATCAGTGTGTCTGAGGCCGGATTTGAACTCGGGTCCTCCTGACTCTAGGGCCCATGGTCTATCCACTTCGCCACCTAGCTACCCCAGTGGCTCTTAAATTTGATGTAGTTGCTTATATATCTAGGAAATGAGACCCTTAATCAGAGAAACAGGCAACAAAGATTTTTCTCTCAAATCTACTTCCCTTTTAATTTCAGCTGCACGGGTTTTGTTTGTACAAAACCTTTTTTAGTTTTACGTAATCAAAATTGTCCATTTTATCATCTGTGATCCTCTCCTCCATTTGGTCACAAAGTGTTTCCCTACACATGGATTTAGGAGGTAATTTATTCCATGCGCCCTCTAACTTGTTTATGATGTCACCCTGTAAGGGCTTTTTCAGTTCTCAATCCTCTGTAATAATGTGGCCAGCCTATGACCGCCATGGTCATGTCAAAAAGGTGGGATCCTAGAAATATCAGCTGCTAAAGTGGCTGGCTAACTTTGGAGCTCTTTTTAATTGGGTGCTGCCAGGGGAAAGTCCTGACAGGTAGCAACTATTAATAAAAGCAAAAAGCTGGAAAAAAGAATTTATGTGCCCTCTAACAGGAATAGTTGAATAGGATATATGAATGGAACAGGATGTCATCACGCCATAAGGACAATGAGTATGAAGAATTCAGATACATGGGGAAACCTGCATGAAGTGACCGTGAAGAAAACAACTGAAAGAACAATGAACACAATGCTATGCGTTAAAAGGCAAGAGCATCATAATGGCCGATGCTAGCTCTGGAGGGGTTAGAGGTCCAGTAAATTACGGAAAATTAGTATTATTGTGTTTAGATGAATATGACAGATTCAGAGGCTCATGGGAAGATCTGTAGGAACAGAGAGAGGGGAAAAAAGCAGGGTCTGGGGCAGCTAGGTGGCACAATGGATACAGCACTGGCCCTGGGATCAAGAGGACCTGAGTTCAAATCCAGCCTCAGACACTCATTCGCTGTGTGACCTCAAGCGAGTCACTTAACCTCAACTGCCGCCAAAAAAAAGAGAAAAAAGCAGGACCAGATGAATATCCATAACAACCCCAATTAGGTAAATTAAAAAAAAACCCTCAGAAGGCAGCCAAATTCAGCTTGAATGAGCGGCCTGCAGATGCCAAACATTATCAGACACGGTGACTGTAGTTGACTTTGTTTGACTGGTTTTCTTTATTAAAGGAGGGGGAAGGTATACTGGGAAATGATTATAAAGCAAAAACTTCCCACAATAACTCATAAACACATTAATATTACTGCCTTTGTTTTAACATCACCTTCGTTTCCCAATGTACCTCAGACCTACCCAGTGTTCCTTCCCCGGTAACCAAAACTTAAAAAGCAAAACAAACCATTTTGGCAAAAAATCAGCCCCAACACTGACAGCAGACATATGCACATTCTACACCCATCATCCCCGTTCCTAATCCTTTCAAAAAAATGAAGATGGCACCATCTCTCTTTTCTGGGACAACCTTCCAATGCATCTTCACAGGTAATTTTTCATAATCTCAAAGAGCAATAAAGTAAGGTAACAGACAGCATTATTCTTAATGCACGAGATGCTAACATTTAGTAGGCCAGGGTCCACATATTCCAAGAGCTTTCAAGGTTCTGTTCAAGTCCCATCTTCTTCAGGAAGGTGCTACCCCCTGTGGCACCACCCCCCCTCCCCATTCCAACCTGTATGGAATGATTGCTTCTCTGAATTTCTTCAGTCTTGAGCCTGCCACAGAAAGGGTGTTTGATTTCATGCTGTCTTGTATTGGTCATTGCTGCATGGACATAAATTATGCCTCCAACTAGACCAGAGGCCTCCATATTACTTTGGCATATGGCAGGCACTACACTACCAACTGCACTGACTTGCTGTCATTATGCTGGATTATGAAATAGCGTGTGTGCTTGTCTGTATACATGTGTGCACATGTGTAATCCTTTTAGTGTATGTACGTGAGAATAAGAAAGGGGAAAAATGACTAAGGAAGCTGTTTCTTTTTGCTTTACAGGGAAAAGGCCTATTTTAAAACTGTTCTTCCTCTTTGGGGGGGGGAGGGGGGGCGGTTCCTGGAGTTCCCTTAGTCTTCTCACCTGCTTTCTCCCCAGGTTCCTTTGTATTCCTCATTTTTGCAGCTGCCCCGACCTCGCCCCGTAGAGCTGCAGGAGAAAGTACTTACCACAGAGTCAGTCATGAAAACCTTGGTTCTACCGCAGTGGATTGGGCTGGGAGTCAGCCTGGCCTCTGGGTGGTCTCTGAGAGTAACCACTGTCGGAGGCAGAGTCAGAAGAATGTCCCTGATGAGGGATTGAAGCATGGCATCCTTCTCAGGGGTTGGCTGCTGTCCTGAAAACCAAGACAGAGGCCTAGATCAGCCCAGCCCCGTCCAGCAGATCCTGAGACTCCATGTATGTCCACAAGGTTTTGGGGAAGACCCATGTGGGCCATGTGACTGTCCTGTCATTGTCATGTTCTCTGACCATTTTCTAAACAGAAAGGCAGGAAGGCAACAGGGTGAGGGTCTGGAGAGGGCCCTGGCTGCTCTAGGCGAGTCTCTCCAGCCACAGCCGTCTCTGCAGACATTCTGCTGACCTCATTTCTTTGTTGGTTTGCTCCAGGTACCTGGCAACCTCCAGCCACAACCGTGTTCTCTCTTACAAGTCAGGCTTGTAAAGTGTTTGGATGCTGACCCAAGACTTCGACTGTCCAACTGAGCAGTGCCATCTTACTCAAGAACCCCAGCCAACTCAGCTGAATCCTATGGGCCAAGAGCATCGTGGCCTACAGATCACACAAATGGAATAGGAACTGAGCAAGCCCATTATTTCTGCCCCTGCAGCTCCCCTACCCCCTGCACAAACTAGAAGACAGAAGCACTAGAAATTACAGCATTTTTAGGAGGAGGGCCTGACTGGCCTAATTCACCCAAGACTGACTCAGAGGGAGACAGAGAATTAATTACCTGATCAGTCTGACCGCACTTAACACCATCGCCTCTTTGGAGACAGATTGGCAAAGGGAGAAGCTGTGGAGGAGAGGCAGAGGTGACAGAAGAAGATCCTTTAAAACTAATAATTAGGCCAGAGTGTGGTTTTGGCAAGAGAGACAGAACAGGAAGGCAGACTATGGAGAAAGGAGAGGAGAGAGAGAAAAAAAAAAGCAAGGAGAGTAACACAAACCTCTGAAAGGTGACAAGAAAAAAACCTTAATTTGGTAACCCGCACCCCTGGCAAAAAGAGGGCTCCAGCAGTCTCAGAAGAGTCACTAGCCCAGAGGTGGGGATGGGCCGGCCCCCCAACCGGGTAAGGAGCAAATGGCCCCATTATTCCTAGCCCCAGTGGAGATGCGGCCTCAGCACTAGGGCTGCGGTTGGTCTTGGGGTCCTGTGGAGGCTCTGAAGTGGGACACGGCTCCAGGTTCCCCCAGCACTCACCTGAGTGCTCCTTTGTGGGCGAAGAGCTGGGCAATCTGGAGGAGGGTCTGGGCTGGGATGGGTAGGACTTTCTCAGCAGGTCATACCGTTCAAGGAAGCTTTGAAAGGAGACCCTGAGAGCCAAAGGGAAACCGCATCAGCCATTTTGTTGAATTTCTGATTGCTGAGGATTCGTACTCTACCCCTATGAGCAGTGAAGGGGACCATGGAGGTCGGCTAGGCCAACCACCACTCAAACTATGAATCTTCTCTACATCACCCATGAATGGCTGTCATTCAGCCTCTGCTTAAACACTCCTCCCAAAAGGATTAGGGGGAACTGCAGGACTGAGGAAGAGAGGAAGCTTGTAAGCAAAACCAGACAGTATCAGGGCTGCTGCTGCCTATTGTGGGGAAGGCCCGCCTTCCCACAGCTTCTTTGTTTAACCTTCACAATGTTCCTGTACCCTCACTTTGGCACTTGGGTATATAGATAACTATCCCAGAATGAAGTGACCGCATCTGCTCCTAACAAGGATGCTAACTGGTAATGCCGCTCAGTGGCCTTTGGGTGATCCAGGCTGCCCAGAGCCCTCCTCGTGTCAGGGCTTCTCCCCTCCCTGCCCTGGATTCCCAGGGTTATCCCTCAGCAACAAGCTCTTGCAAATGATGTCATTGTGGTTCCCTAACTCCTCCCCACTCCTACATATACCCTTCCTGATCCGTGAATCGCCACAAATCCTCTCAACAGAGAGGCTGGGGCGTAAGCATTAGGTGGGTGTCAAGCCACACCCTCAGTGTATCTTAACTCTTCCCTCTCCCTCACTCCCCCAAATTGGCTGCCGAGTCTTAATGACTGCACCCCCACGATGTCCTTGCCATTCACCTGGCCACCACCCCCTCTCTCCTGGACTCATGCCAGAGCTTCCTAACTGGTCTCCCTGCCTCTAGCTTCTTCTCTTTTCAATCCATCCATCCCAGCTGCCAGAATAACGCTGGGAGACACTAACCATGGAGTCATCCACCCTTCAGGCACTTATTAGCTGTGTGACCTTAGGGAAGCAGTGTACAAAGGGGGGGGCCATCGCCTGACCCCAATGGGGGTGTGACCAATCAGATGGGGAAAGAAAACATCCCAGTCAGCTCAATACCCTTTCACCCAATTCTGGGCTTGGCCCCCCTTTAGCCATACCTCCCCACTCTCCTTCTCAACTGCTGGCCTTGTGCATAGGGAAAATTCCCATTCTATCCCCCTCCCCCCCATCCCCATCCCCCATACTACAGTTCACATTGTGGCTGCTGCAGGTACCCCAACAGGTGGACTGTATGCTCTGGGGCTGTGACAGGTGAGTCATGCAACCTGTGCCCCCCGCCCAATGGCCAGTTTTTCAGTGAGAGTGTGTCTCATCGGATGAACAAGTACAGATGGATTTTGATCTGAATCTTGGGAGTTCCTTACATAATCTTTTCCCAAACCTAACCCTCTTACTAAATTCTCTATTTCCCTCAAAGGCACCACCAGCTTTCTTGTCTCTAGGCTTGCGGGCCTCCTTCATCCTTGGGGTCTCACCCTCAACTGAGACTGCTTTTTCTAAAGAGACCAATGGATCTCTCAATGTACCCAAGATCTAACGGCCTCCTTTCAATTCTCATTCTCCTTGGCCTTCTGGCAGCCTCCAACACTGTCCATTCCCCTCTCCTCCTGACTACTTCTCTCCTCTCTGGCCTGCTGAACACTATAGAATTACGTTACTTATAAAAGTTCCTATCTTCACACAAACTCAGAAACAGCATTTTCCTAATCAGTTTTAAAAATCTTCCAAATGAAGAGTTACAGTGGGTCCTGAATCCATGTTTAAAATGTCAAAATGTACAACTTTCTTATTATTTTTCAGGAACAATTTTTGACATCAGTGAATATGGAAATTTACTAATTCAATTCCAATAAAAACCTCTGCATAATTGATGGAGGGGTCAAAAACAAGTTGAAAGCACAGCTAATGATGCACTTTTCCTATCTGGATCTATGGATCTTTGTAAGATATCTTTTTCACTATAACAGCTTTAAAACCAAGTATCAAAATAAAATGATAGTGGGGCAGTGGATAGAGCTCTGGCCTTGGAGTCAGGCAGACCTGAGTTCAAATGTGACCTCAGACACTTGACACTTACTAGCTGTGTGGCCCTGGGCAAGTCACTTAACCCTTACTGCCTCACAAAAAAAAAAAGAAAACATGAAAAAGAACATAGAACTAGATTTCTGAAATACTGTCACATAAAGTGTAACCAAAATTTTTTTTCAGGCAGTTGGGGTTAAGTGACTTGCCCAGGATCACACAGCTAGTAAGTGTCAAGTGTTTGGTCTGAGGCCTATTTTGAACTCAGGTCCTCCTGACTTCAGAGCCGGTGCTCTATCCACTGCGCCACCTAGCTGCCCCTCAAGATTTTTTAAAAAAGCATTTTCAATAACAATGCTATCACCTAAAAATATCTTTATTTTAGTGAGCAAAAAATTTTTTTGTATGGTTAATATTACTTTCAAAATGTTTTCATTTCTATCATCCTTTTTTGATTTGCAGCTTTTGTATACATTTTATAATGCATATAATTATTAATACAGGAGTAAAAGTATGTAATTTAGAAGTACACATATATTTGGGGGGGGCACATGGCTCAAAAATTTTTGACTGTTTAGAGTGATGATTGAAAACAGTCTGAGAGCCTTAGTGTCTCTGTTTGAAAATGGAGATAATAGTTAAGATTGCTGTCTTACAGAAGAGTTACAGACCTTCCCTGGGGCTCAGTTCAGGTGTCACCTTCTCTATGAAGCCTTCCTTGGAGCCACCCCAGCTGAAAGGGTGCTCTCCTGACTCCAATGTTCCTAAAGCACTCTCGACATCTCTTTCCCTCACACAGGCCAGCATCTACTTATCTGGGTACTGACATGTACAGGACCGTACAATGAGAATGTGAAGCTGCTTGAGGGTGGAGACTACATCATCCTTTATATACCTCATCTCATAACACAGGAGGTGCTAAGTACTTGGTGTTGGTTTGAACTCACCTGATAGGAAAGCCAGCAGCACTGATGTGAACAGTCTCCACAATGCCACAGGCTTCAAGCTGGCTCAGGACCTGCAAGGGATGTGTCAGATTGGGGGGAGGCAGGAAGAAAAGGAAGAAAGAAGGAGAGGGAGGAGGAAAGAATAAGAGGAAGAAAGAGAAGGAAGGAGGGGGAGGAGGAAGGAAGAAAAGGAGGAAAGAAGAGGGAGGAGGAAGAGGGAGGAGGTCCTTATAGTCACAATCACCTCTTTTGCCCGGAACCTCTGGGCGTGGCCATGGCTGTTGGGCTTGATACAGCGAATGTAATGGGGCGTGGTGCTGTGTAGAACCTGCATGAGCTGCTCCAGGGAGCTCTGTGGAGGTACCAGGTGAGCAGAGAGAGAGAAAGGAACCAGGCTGGACAGAGCACCAGCAGGGGACCTCATTTTCCTCTTGGTTCCTTGAAGCTTCTCTGCCCCTCACTACCCCTGAGGTACCTTGAGCCCACCCCTCCAAAGAGCTGCCAGCATGGCCCAAAGGAGCAAGCAGCCATGGTGTAATGGTTGTGTTCCTGGGATGCTTCAGGACAAGCTAACCCCCCGCCCCTTCCTCTGCTCTGGGTTCCTCCCCCCATATCCTGCTCCACTGTTTCGGGTCTCTCCCCTCCCTCTCTGCTGTACCCCTCCCCCCCAATAATCCATATACCTCCCTGCCCATCCCTCTGCTCCAGGTCTCTTCCCTCCCTATCGGCCCCCCTCCCTCCAGCCATTCTTCTGCTTCCCCTCCCTCCCTGTCCTCCACTCCTAGGCTGTTCCTCTTTCTATGCTGTTCTATGTCCCCTCACCACTCAATGGGTAGGTTAGATTTACAACATTCCCTTCTATTTGCTTTGTAAGTATCAAGAGTTGTCTTTGAGGGGGTTTTCTCTTCCCTTCTTCTCTCCGCAGATGCCATCCAATCCCAACCAGTGGCTAGGTCACCACAGGCCTCTGCTCAGTAAATAACTAGCTGTTCCCCTGGGGTATCTGAGATGAAGACGGGTGCCCAGGAAAGCTCCAAGTCCTAGGTCTTACAAGGAGACGTGGGGGAAGACATGCCTTTCATCTTTACCAGACCTACCTTGAACCTGGAGACCACAGTAACCACGGGGGCTCTGCTCTGGCCTAAAAGGTCATTCGGTTCCTTTTCTTGGGAAGGAAACAGTTTCTGGAGCAGAGAGTCCTGAGAATGCTGCAGGAGCCGCGTCAGCTCTGGTGGAACTGGATCCTGTGGGGGCAGCCCGAGACGGTCGAGGATGACCACCCTCCCCATCCTTCTGAATGGGGCTGGGTATCACAGGGACCCTCAGAGGCCATCTAATCCAACCCCAAGAAACTGAGACCCAGAGAAGGGCCTAAAAAGATGCAGGTTTTAAAGAAGAAAAACAAACCCTGCATGGCCTAAATCCATGTTTGTCTGGGTTACTGGAGGAGTTCTAGGGACCAGGAGATAAGTTAGTGAGGTGACAGTCCCATTCTACTTGGCCCAGCTCAGACCACATCTGGGAAATAGCATTCTCATTGTGCACCATCTTTAATGGAGTTGCCCCCTTCCCCTTCAGCTTCTCTGGCTAGCCACCATCCTGGCCAGCCACATCTCCCGACTCTCCTAGATTTTCTCTACCATTCCTTTCTCCTTCTCCCCAGTCCTTCAGCTTCCTTTTAGGTACCGTCTTCTTGTCTTCTCTCATTAAAATGTAAGCTCTTTGAAGGCAGGAACTATCTTTCCTTTTGCTTGTATTAGTATCCCCAATGCTCAGCACAGTACCTGGCACATAGTAAGCACTTAATAAATACTGGTTTACTTACATTTGACCAACTCCTACCGCCTGTTACTTTCCCAGACTCCATGATAATAAATTCCTAGCTGCCGAGGAGTACCCCCCTCTTCCCCACTTCCACTCTTTCATCCGCATCCTTCTGAAGCCTACCTGTCCACTTCTCTTTGCTCCCTCACTGTGCCCTTTGGAGCTCCTATTCCATATCTAACAAACTTCCCTTCATTTTGTGCTCTGCCCCCTTCCACCTCCCGGCTCTCACAGCCCCTGGTTTTCCCCCTCCCCACCGCTGCAGCCCCCATGGTACACCTGGCCATCCTCTCCATTTCCTCTCATACCCTCCTCCCCGTCTCTATTACACTGATCTTGGAAGGGAACTTAGAAGATTCCCTGCCCCTCGGTGCCTCTTCCAGATTCTCCCTATGTCACCATCACTCAGCAGCCTCTCCTTTGAGGTTCACTCTACCTAAGTGTATCACCCAATCCAGAGAACAGTGGCTATTGCTACAGTTTGTTTCTCAAGCAGTTCAATACCTAGCTCTCCTCCCCAACTCCTGCCCTAGGGCGATCTCACACTCATGGGGATGCTCCCTTAAACTCCCCAGAATCCCAGTTTCTCCAGCTCCTCTGCTTGATCCTGTGATCTATTCCTTCAGGCCATCTCAGCCACACACACACAGAGGGACGGTCGCAGGTCATCATCATCACCTACAAGGGTTCTACTTTTATGATCAAAACTTTGAAATGCTTTGATCTGACCATAACGTGTCGTCTCACCTCTCCCTATGCCTTTCCCCCATCTAAACCTATTCTTCAGCCTCACTTGCTCTTCCAATCCCATCACCCCTTCCAGTCTGGAGCTGTTCGTTACCAGCTGGACTCTACACCATCCTCTACTCTCCAATCTTTTGCCCCCTTGTCCGGTTGCTGATCATGTTTTCCCAAACCTGATTTCAAATGACTCCTACCACACCCTCATCCATTTCAACTCACAAGCTGTCCAGAACAGCTGGACGACACACGACCATGCTGCTTCATTTCTTCCAGGCCACGACTTGCAGTTCTTATGACCAAGTCATTCTTTTTCTCTGAATCTGTTATTATAAGGGCTACTCTCGTCTTTAGAGTTTACCTCTGGGCTATTTTTTTCATTGTGTTTGGTGTTTCCTTCTGTTTACTCATATTTCCAGCCTCCAGATGTTATGCCCTCATGAAAGGCCTTGTTTGGTCCTGTCCCTTCTAAAGTTTGGATGCCAACACTGCTGCCGATAGAGGGTAGAGGTAGGGGGTGGGGTGATTGGTATTAGACCCCACCCTCTACCTTACTCCCTGGTTTAGGTCTCAATCTCCTGGTGGTCCGCTGTGGAGTCTAGCCTTGACAAGCATCTGTCTTCTCCTCACACAATCCCTAATCAGGAGTAGGTTCTACCCCCTGGTGTAGTTTTGGCGGGCTCTAGTGGGTATCACATTGGTTTCCCCGTACAGCAGCCCCAGTCTCTCCTATGCTGATTCCCAGCATGGAATTATCCTGGTTCCAGCAGGCAAACCTGGTCCCCAATTACTGGAGCTCACACTGGCCTGCAAACACCTGTTCAGAGTGCTGGCTGGCTCCTAGATGGTTTACCTTCCTTAGCATGGCTAATCTCTGTCTCTGTCAGCTTCAGGCTGGATTACCTGCACATATGCTGGCTTCCCAGGTGTAACCCCTTTCTTCCAGCTTCTACCAACTTCTGGATATGTTTTTGTGCAGTACTGAACTGGAGGAACTCACTTCTGTGTGTTTCAATCTTCATCTCCTTGACCTTTCTGCTGCATTTGACACTGCTGTCTATACTCTCCTCTCTCAATTTTTTGGGATGCTGTTTTCTCCTGGTTCTCCTTCCACCTACCCTGACCGGCCCTTCTCAGTCTCTCATTCGGTGGCTCCTCACTGCATCACACCCCAAAGCTCAGTCCTGGGCCCTCCCAGGGTTAGCCGTCATTCAGACATGAAGATTCTCGGATTTACATATCAAGCTCCAGTCCTATGTCACTAGCTGCTTATTGGACATTTCAAGCTGGGTGTCCCATATACACCTCAAACTCAACATATATAAAATACAACTCATTATCTTTCACTGAGTCCTCTTCTGATCCTTCCTACGTCTGCTGAGGACACTCATCCTTCCAGGGCTTGCAACCTAGCATTCTCCTCCATTCTTCACTCCACTTATCTGATCAATTGCCAAACCCTGTCATTTCTACCTCCACAACATCTCTTGAACCCATCCCTTTCTATACCCACATGAGCCCCCGTTCACCACTCACACTGTATTAAGCTCCTCACTAGGGTTCCTTCTTAGCCTGGCTGCACAATTCCCAAGGTGACTTCCCTAAGGGCAGATCTTACCAGGCCACTCTCCAATTCAACAAACTGCAGCGGCTGCCTATTGCCTCTAGGATCAAACCTACACTCCTCTGGCTTTTAAAGCCATTTACGACCTGGCCCCAACCTATATTTCCAGCCCTATTAAACATTATTCCCCTCTTGTACTCTCTGGTCCAGTCAAACTGTCCTTCAACACATAACATTCCAATTTCCGGCTCCACATCTTTCCAGGCTCGCCCCACTCCCTTCACACCTCCACCCTGGAGAATCTTGGCAGCCTCCAAGACTCAGCTCAAACACCATCATCTCCAAGAGGCCTTTCCTGACCCTCCCAAATCACCCTGGATTGAATGCAAGTTTCTGAAGGGATGGGCCTGTTTCACATTTGTCCCCAGAGACCAGGACAGCGTCTGGCACAGAGCAGGCACTTAATAAATGCTCACTGACTAACCTGATTCAGGTCTGGGGCCCATATTTTAGGAAAGACATTCACAAACTGGAGAGCAATCAGAGTAGGTGACTAGAGAATGGGCCAGATGAGGAATTAGGGATGATTGGCCTGGGAAGAGAGGGCTTGGGTGGGTACAAGAGAGCTTTTGCTAAGTATCTGAAAGGCTGCCACCCCAGTAGCACATTAGATGTGTTCTGCTTGGCCCTAGAGGACAGGACCAAGGTGAGTAGGTGGAATGTGCTGGGAGTTGGGACAGGCTGCCAAAGGAGGCTGGAGTGCCCTCTCCCTAAACGTCTCCATGTCAAGGAGGCTGAATGGCTACCCTTTAGGGATCTGGTAGAACAGACCTATGCATTACCTCAGAGGTCCCTTTCACCTCTGAGCATTTGTGAAAGCCCTCTGTAAAAGTTCTACGTAAAGGTCATTGAGCACCGTGAATAACCCTGTCAACAATCTCCACAATTGAGTGCACAGCCTGTAGCTTCTGAGATCTTGCTGCAGGACCCCCAACCCCCCAAGGATAGAGCTGGGCCATCCACAGTCTCAGGTCACTCATTCTCTCTCCTCCAGAGAAAGCTGCCCCTCCTCTCCCAACTCCAGACTTATGAGAAACCCACCCTCCGTGCCCTGTGCTCTGAAGATTCAGGTTTCCCTTGCTGTTTTCTGACCTTATTTTTCTCTACCATGCCCTCAATCTGATATTGCACAGGGCCAGCATAGTGGGCAATGATAAAGTTGGGGTCCTTGCTGAACTTGTTTCGGTTCAGGCTGGCATTGCTGGACAGGGTGCTCTCAATTCGGGTCTGGAGCTGGGTGGCATTGGACGGCCTATTGAGACGACATTCCTGCACACAAAGGGCTGGGTCAGTGAGGAGAATGAGGAGAGCATAAGAACAAAGACGGTTTACATTTACGTTATGCCGGTTGCTTTCTGTGATTTTAACCAACCTTCCTTCCTTCCTTCCCTCCTACCTTCCTTTAACCCTCTCTTGCAAGTGCATCGGCTGGTCTCGGGCCAACCCCACTGCTGACAGACAACAAAGCTTCAAACTGCTCTGTCTCTGTCCTCCCTGCCCCTGCCCCTGAGCCTTCCAACAGTGAACTCAGTTTGGATGTCCATTTGGATTAGTCAAAACTTCGGAGCTCAAGTGATCCACCAGCCCAGTGACCATTGCCCTCTTCCCTTCTCACCTCATTTATGAGGGAACAGATGCTGACAGGGCTCCCTTCAATCAGGTCCAGGCAGCTCTGATTGTCCTGGTAGCTGATGAAGGACCACTCTAGCCCCTCAGCAGCATATTCCTCCTGGTGCAATAAAAAAGCAGGGTTGATAACGAGCATGAGGAGGGGAACAGAAGTGGCCTGGGCTCCTGGACAGGCTGCCTTGTGCTCTGGACTCTAGGGAATAGGTCCAGTCAGATTTGGGCATTTAAGGAGGCGTTTAAGCAGCTTGGGATGAAACCCTGCCTTGCTACCAGAAGGCTACAGTCAGGAGCACAGACACCTAAAGCCATGAACCAGCTGCCCTCCCCTGCACTACTCCCCCACCTCTGCCCGCAGCTCTGTACCTCCTGTACAGTGAGGGGCACAGAGCTGCACAGCCCCAGGCCAGCCGCCCTCCCTGCACTATGCCCCCACCTCTGCCTGCAGCTCTGTACCCCCTGTACAGTGAGGGGCACAGAGCTGCACAGCCCCAGGCCAGCTGCCCTCCCCTGCATTACTCCCCCACCTCTGCCCGCAGCTCTGTACCCCTGCACAGTGAGCGGCACAGAGCTGCACAGCCCCAGGCCAGCTGCCCTCCCTGCACTGCCTCTCCCTCTGCCCTCCTCCCCCACCCTGGCCAGCTCCATACTTGCTGGGCCCGAAGGTAGTGAGCCACAAAGTGCTGCTGCAGCTTCTCATTGGCGTAGTTAATGCACAGCTGCTCCAGGTTGTTGTTGGGGAAGCATTCAAACCCATACACATCCAGCAGCCCTGGGGTAGAGACAGGCACAACAACAAGGGGCGGGGGAGAAAACACACAGTTACTACGGAGGGTGAGGGGATGGCTGCCTCCCCAAAGTCCAAAACTGCAGGCTGCCTTCAGAGAGACTAATGATATTGCAACCAGGTGTCCCCAGGGCCACCCAGTAGCACGAGTCTGGTGCAGTGGATATCAGAGTCAGGGGAGCGCTTCTGGTCTAGGATGCATAAAGCAAGTCCACCTTCCCCAGAGGGAGCACCTTGGCTCTCTGCATGCCCAGGGCTGACATCGGACACCCAGGCTTCTCTGGGGAGTTTTCATCTCAAAGCTCCCATTCTGCCACGAAGGTAGGAAGGAGGAGGACCGGCAATGCTGTACCCACACTGCCCAAAGAACCAAGACCTAATGCAGGAACTCGTAACCTTTTTTTTTTTTTAAAGCACAGACCCATTGTCAGAATGTTTTAAATGCTGAGTGTTTAAATGATGAAATAAAGTACCAAGGATTACAAAGGAAACCAATCATATGAAATGCAGTTTTAAAAATCTAACACCTCCCCATCCCAAAGTTCACAGACCCAGGAGAAGGCCCTCTGGGAGAGGGGGTACATTTTGAGGTGTGGGAGAGTGGAAAGAGCCCTGGATTTGGAGCCAGCGTACTCCAGTTCAAATCCAGATAACCCTGGCAAAGTACCTTCATCTCCTCCTCTGTAAAATGAGCGGGTTGGACTAGATGACCTTATGGTACCTGCCAGCCCCAAACTTGTGTTGCTACAATGAGGAGACCCGGTCTGAGGACCCTGGAGTTAAGAGGATGGCTCCTAGTTGGCCTCCCGCTTTCCTGTGGGTCTACAGAAGCCGGATAATCAGTCAACTAGACTCACCAATACCTTTTTCTTTGGTTCTCCTCTCAATTAAATACTTTTTTATTAAGTTTTCACTTTACCAAGTACTACCCTGGGTACCAAGCATACAGCAAAAACAAACCCCACAAAATAGTCTTTGCCTCAAGGAGTTTATATCCTATTAGGGCGATAACATAGTATGTTAATTAGCAAACATGAACCTGGGGAAATCAAGGAAGGCCTCTTGAAGGAGGTCATGTGAGCTGAGCCTTGTGTTTCAAGAACTGGAGGTGAAGAGGCACAGAGGAAGGGCACAGGCACTGAGCAGGAAATGGAAAGTCATTCAATTTGGCTGAAGCAGAAAGTATGGGGAGGGAATAGTGAACAATTAGCCTGGAAGGAGACACTGAAGCCAGATTGTGAAGGGTTATAAAGGCCAAGCAAAATTTGTACTTTTAAAAGACTTTTGTATCCTAAAAGCAACAGGGAGCCACTGAAGCCTCTTGAGTCACAAAGTGTCACGGTCAGACCTAGACTTTCTCTAACTTTGTTAAGTGTGTGGGAGACTTGTCAGGAAAGACTACACTAGGGTGGTTGCAGCAGAGGAGTGGAGAGAAGGGGACAGGGCCAAGAGATGCTGTAGAAGAACTGCTGAGACTGGGCAGAGGCGGAGGCAGCGAGAGGACACCGTCCAGTCTAACATCCAGGCTAGGCTTGGCAATGCACCAACTAGAACCACCCACCCCGAAGAGCTGGAGAGATGCCTATTTCTTCACTAGAGACACCTGTGCCTTTCTGGGTGCTGTGTGGAGCAGAGCTGGGAAGGCTGCAGACCCAGGCTTGTAAAGCTCGTCACCACCTGGCCTCTCCCTTGCCCTCCAGTGACCTGGCCACGGGGCCTTCTTGCCATTCCTCACACACAGTGCTCCACCTCTCATCTCCATGCCTTTGCAATGGTTCCCCATGCCTTGAATGCCCTCCCCTCCTCATCTCCACCTCTTTGCTTCAAGATTCAGCTCAGACCTCACATTCTACAAGGGCCTTTCCCTTTCCCGGGATGACCAGCAGCTCATACCTCACCCTCTGAGATTACTTTTCATCCTCTCCACATAGGCCTTGGATGTATCTTGTTTTTCTTATGTTGTCTCCCCATTAGAATGGGAGTCTCTTGAGGGCAGGGCCACTGTTTTTACCTTTCTTTCATATCCTCAGCACTGAACACAGTGCCGGGCACATAGAGTAAGCCCTTAATAAAAGCTTGTGGATTGACATCATTTAGTCTAAACCCCTCATTTTCAAAAGGGGAAACTGGGGAAATGACTTGCCCGAGGTCACTTAGGGAGTTCATAAGCACGGCTGGGACCAGAACCTGTTTCCTGATTCTTGGTCTAGTGCTCTTTCCAGTCTCCCACACTGCAAAGCAAAGGCCCTTGGGAGGGCCCGAGGAGGGGCAGCAGAGTCAGACAGGAGAGGAGGCAGAAGAACACAGTACCAATGAAAGTGGTCCAGGTGGAGGGCTCTGCACAGATGCTCCCATTGATGACCGACACCAACCAGTCAAACAATCTGTGGAGGGGAGGGATGGTGAGCTCTGAGGGCAGGGGCCTAGTGAAGCAGTGCACCTGGGGAGGAGCAGGGCTTCTGCTTTCCCTGAGGTCTGCATGACTTCAGCGAGGCTAGAGCCGCAGCTGTCGGGCAGAGGTGGGGGTGGGCTGGCCCACTCACCGGGCATAGGTGACTTTGGCCAGACAGTCCCTCCGGGTCTCACATTCAGCCCGGGAGCAGGGCTTCCTGAAGACCTGCTGCTGCTTCCCGGCTGTGATCGTTCGGACTCGAAGGGTCTCCATCAGCTCCTCCTTGGGGATCCAGAGCAGAGAGGCCGTCGTCATCACAAAACCTGGTTTGGGGACCACAGCTATGGTTATCTGTAGGCAGTGGGTCACTGAGGATGGCAAAACCCCCAGGGTCCTGCTGGAAGTACAGGTACTGGAGGAGTTGGGGGAAGGAGCTCAGATCCCCGGCAGCCCCCTGACGGAGGGCCCACTCCAGCTGACTCCTCATCACCATGCCATCGCCTACCACGGCAGACTAGAGTAGCAGTGGGAAGGGTGGGAGATGGTGTTCTCATTGCTCATTTGTGATGGGCTTCAAGTGCCACCTTCTCTCCCCACCCTCTTTTCCCAGATTCAGCAGTCCTCCCCTGACATTAACTTTCCTTTCCCCACCCTGCAGGGCACTGGCCCGCCGTGGCTCCATGTCAGACGCGTCCTATCTCATTGGCACGCAAGCTTAGCTCTTGGGAGCTAACCCTGAATTCTCAGAGTCCCCAGTCAGGGGGCAGTGAGCTCCTTCCCCTCTTACATTTAGCATCTTCCTGTGGCTGGCAAACCTGGGATTCATCCTCTGAGTCATCAAAGTGGATATTCCCAAGGTGTAGCAATCCTGATAAGATCTGTAGGAACAGCAGAAAGGAGCTCAGTTTGTAGAGGATTGTGCCTCCGGGAGATCAATCAAAGCCCTGGGCCTAGGAGATGCCCACCTGCAAAGCCTTTTGTGCACACGTACCCCAGTTTTACCACCAATGGTGGACAACAGGGAGACCCTATGACCTCTCGGTTTGGGGGAAGGAGACTGTTCTCTCTTTGCTCTAGAGGCTGCAGGGGCACGCTGATAGAGCTGCTCCTAGCTGGCCAAGTCCCAGGTGGTTACATTTTTAAACTCTGCTGTGGGATGGGATGGGATGGGCTGGGCTGTCCCTCCCTTGCCCTCTTCTCCACCACTGTGTGCCTCATTTCTATTGAGATACAGACAGAGAGAGTTTGACAGCTACAAGGAATCCTTTCCTCCTAGTAGAGCCTTATTGCTTTCAGTCAACTAAGTGTGACAACCTTGTAGGCATCACCCCTAGAGTGAAAGCTAGCTTGAGGGTGCCCAGGCCCGAGTACTTCAGATCCGCCATGTCCGAGGGGGCCCAGGGCATAATCCTCTACTAGTTTTCCGACTTCTTCCTTGATAAAGTTCCTCAAGGACAGTGGGCAATATTAAAAACAATTCTGAGGGTGCACCACCTCTGCCCTAGGACCAGCACTGGACCCTGTTCACTAATGCCCTGAACCTGCCCCACCTAAGGCGACTTGTCTCCTCCTCTGAGTCTCAGCCTTCTTATATTGGGCCTGTAGTAACCAGACCCCTCTTGTTCAGGGGGACTCCTGCCTCTCCCTGGGCTGCTGCTACCCATACTCAGGCAGGCTCTGCTCATTCCAATGATTGCCAGGCAATCTTTATTGGCTGACTGACTGAGAAGCCCAGAACTCCATGGGGCTATGTACCTATTGGCTGGCCCCAAGGCACTGGCAGAGGCCTCATCATGGCCATCATGCATCAGAGGGAATACAGACCTCCCTGGAGTTCAGCTGCCCTAGCTCACTGGGTGATCCTACCACCTCAAGAGGGGATAAGTCCCCGGCACAAGTCAGGAAGGGAGGTGTTTCCAGCTGTAGAATCTCCTGTCCAGGGGGTTTCTAATCTCCTTCCCTAAATTAAAGGACTCATTTTTCTCTCCTGACCTTAAAGATGTTGTTCTGTGTGGAGTGGTCAATGCCTAGGTGGAGCATTGCATCTTTGGTCACTTCAAAGCAGTCCTCTGGAAATAAAACAAAACACCCATGTCAGACATGGGCTTCAACTTACACTGTCCCAGAACCAGCCCAACACTTCTGGGACTCCCGAGTTCCAGACTCGAGGAGACAAGGGGACGAGGCATAGAACCCAAAATCCAGATGCCAAGTTGCCCCATGGAGTCTGGGTGTATCAGGCTCAGTTCACATGCCTGTTGCCACTCCAGGGCCCAGAAGCCCAGAGCTTTCCCTACCTTCCAAGGTCCTGTCAGAATTGGGCAGCCAATGGAAAGCAGCTCCCTCGGGCAGGTGCCACTCTAACCTTTCACTTGAACTGGCTCCTTTGGTAATCTGGGGAATCAGAAATGTGCAATGAGATGCCTGGATGCATCACTGTATGTGAACCCCATAGATGAGGGCCTGTAGGCAGAAGGCTGATATATTCACTGAAGGCAGGGCACTGTAAGAGACACTGAAGGATAAAAAAGAAAGGAAAGGATAGCTCCCAATGTCACACAGGGAGAACGTCTGCTCCACATCGTACTCCTGATGTGGTAAACAACTGCTCAATAAATACTGAGGTTAATCCCCATCCTGAGTTCACCGTCTTGCTTTGGTTGTCATTTCCCCATTCCCAAGTGTATTCTTTCTCTCTTTTTCCAGCAATTTCTTTCCATCTGTCTCCAAATATGCATGGTCTCCTCAATCCTAGGAAAGCTTTTCCTTACTCCTTCTAGCCTCGAAGCAGCTATGTTTCCACTTCTCTCCTCCCCTTTTTGCTCATCTTCCCCCAGTGCCTCCATTTCTTTACCAGGCCTGGGGTCTCCTCCAATCCCTGTGCATCACGCCTTTGGTCCCCATCACTTGACTGGATCTGCCTTCTCAAAGGTCACCCGGGACGCCCGATCACCAAATCTCTTTGGTTTTTTCAGTCCCCGTTTTCCTTGACTCTGCAGCTTTTGACACAAGTGACCACCTCCTTCTCACTGGACACTTTCTCCTTTCCCTTAGCTTCAGACCCCATATTCTCCTTGTTCTCCCCTGGAATGCATGATGTGAATATTACCCAGGGCCTTTCTCTCACTATGCTTCAACTACCACCTCTATGGAGATGACTCACAAATCTGTACCTCCAGCCTGGAACTTCCCCAGAAGCTCCAGCCCCACCTCTCTAATGGGTATAGGACTGTCCCCCTGACTGTTGCGATGACCACTCAAACTCAACATCTTCTAAATGGAGCTCATCTTTTCCCCAATACCACCATTTATCCAGTCTGCCCATTTCTGCAAGCTTGGGGATATCTTTGGCTCTTTCTCATTCACCTGCCAAGGTCTGCTGATTGCACTCCTTTCTGCACCATCTCCTACACCTGTTTCTTCCTTTTTTTCTCCCTCCCAACCAGCCTAGCACAGGCTTTCATTTCTACCCACCTAGACTACTGCAACAGCCTCCTAATAGGCCCACTTGTCTCAGTCCTCCTCCTCCTTCAAGCACCTTTACGTGGCTGCCATAATACTCTTGTTTGGGCACAGATCCGGATGCGAATGTCACCCTGCTCCAAAACATCTTCAGTGGTCTCCACTGAATCTATGGAATAGTTTCCACACCTTTGCTCAGCTTTCAGGGCCTCTCACAATCTTTCCATTCATAGGATAACATATTTAGTCCAATCACTTCATATTTTCCATCGAGTCCAACTACTTTGTTTTACATATGAGGAAATGGAGGCAACTACGAGGGTTAGAGACTTTTCCAGGATTGCACATTTGGTGAGTGTTGGAGCTAGCAATTTGAACCCAGGACTAACTGACTCAAAGTCCAGTGCCTGGACTAGCCTCCCATCTCTTGCCACCCTGCCTTCACAGAGTCTTAGTATTAATTTTACCACCAGCTGCTTTACTTGGTTTTGCCTCCATGAACATCATGTTTCCTCTGGCGCTCTCCCCACCCCATTTTCCAGCTCCTTTGAGGGTAGGGACTGTCTTTTTAAAAGCTGTATCCCCAGAGCTTAGCATAGAGCTTGGCACATAGCAAGGACTTAATAAATGTTCACTGAGCAATGACTACTACCCTGGGCCTTATAATCTGCATTCTGGTCAAACTGAACTATTTCCTGCTCCTGAGTAGGCAACCATTCTTTCACACCTCCAACGTCTTTGCTCAGGCTGGCCCCTATGTCTGGAATGTCTGAATTCTTTCTCTCCCTTTCTTTGCCTCAAGTAGTACTATCGATCCTTTAAACGTCATCTAAGATGTCACCTCCTCCAAGAAGCTCTTCCTGATGCTTCTGGTCTATAATAGCCTACACTGTCCCTTTCCCTCAAGTCATCAAAGTACTTTGTTTGATACTTCCCCCAATTATGACAAGTGGCAGCTAGGTGGCACAGTGGATTAAGTACTGGGTCTGAAGTCAGAAAAACTTATCTTCCTGACTTTAAATCCAGCCTCAGACCCTTACTAGCTGTGTGACTCTGGGCAAGCCACTTAAATCTACCTCAGTTTCCTCATCTGTAAAATGAACTGGAGAAGGAAATGGCAAACCACTCGAGTATCTCTACCAAGAAAACCCCCAATGGGATCACAAAGAGTCCAATTCAAAAACAACTTATGACATAACACTGGGTAGTCCAGTCACTTGTGTTTATAGCTCCTCTTCCTATTAGTCTGTAAGCTCCTGAGATCAGGGACCTCATCTGATCTAAACTTTGTGTCACCTCCATCTCTATGACAGTGCCCTGTACCCAGCAGACACCTGATAAATGTGGATGAAACATTCTAATAAGAGATTCTTCCTTAGCTAACTCTGGCAATCAGAATTATTCCACAGTCAGAAGTGATCTGCCCCAAGTTCTGCCTCCACAGGCTTTACACATTTTTGACACCCATCAGAGGGGGATCTCCTGGGGCATAAATTCAGTCTGTACATTAAAGGTCTAACAGATGATCCAGGATTCACAACTAGAAGATCTCTACCTAGTCATCAGTCTGCTCCTTATCGCTGTGTGACTTTGGGCAAGTCCCTTAACTACTGAGCCTTAATATTCTCACCTGCAAGGCGGGGATAATATTTGTCTTCCCTACATCACAGTTCTGATTCTGAGGATCAGATGTAAAGAAGCCTGTAACTGTAACACGTAATTTAATGTCAGCTATCATCATTATTAAATATTATGACAGTTAATTGTGCGTAGATCTATATACGAGTGATAGGAAGAACAACGGGACAACAGAAGTGGCCAGAACCAGCTGCAATTCGTCCAAGAAAACATTCTAAAGGAGGTGACTTGCAATGAAGCGGGAGGGGGAGAGCAGCAGATCTCGTTAGGGCTATAAAAATCAACAGCTGTGAAGGATACGGCAAAGAGCATCACTAGGACAGGACCTGGAACCCAGTGCCTGGCACAGACCTGATAGAAGATATGAAAATTCCTCTCCAGTGGGGCCTGGTAAGCAACTCGAGTTTTCTCCAGGAGGTATGTCTGGACAGAGGCCCCAGTCATCTGCTGAGCTCTAGGGAGTAGAAGGTGGATATGTGGATGTAAAACCCAGGGATTGCTAGCCCCCATAGACTGACCATGATCCCCACCAAGCCTGTGGACGAGACTGGGGGAAGCAAGGTAAATAGCCACTACCCCTCAAAGGGTGTAAGGAGGGTCACTTTTCCCATGTGAATTTAGAAATGCTTATATTTTAGTGCCAGAAAATCCTGCTGTCCATGACACAGAGATATCTCTTCTGTGATGAGCCAAGCCATACGTTTCTAGCGAAGGCCTGAGGCTCCAGGGGAGAGCAGCATCCTGAGCGTACCCAGGGCACACATGTGCCTTGTATAAGCCACAAAGTCCAGAACTCAGGGCCAATGGCTGGGAACAGGGGAAGACCAGGGCTGGGGGACCCAGAGCTGTTAAGCAAATGACAGAAAGAGGAGCTTGTGAGCAAGCAAGAACCTGAAAAGAGCAGCTCTGCTTTCCTCTCAAAGTTTTGCTGGTACCCTCTTTGTCTAGACTCCCATCCTTGTGTCCAAACCAGGCAGGCTCCTCGTTTGGAGGGACATCAGCCCAAGCCAAACTGCTGTGTCCTGGCCACGTGCTTCTCTGCAGAACAAGGGCCATCCCAGCAGATCCCAGGGGAGACCCACAGCACGGGCCATGACACAGCCTGCACCCGCGCAGGACCCCAAGGCCCACTTTTACCTGTTCAGCTGGAGCTGGATGTACTTCCCAAAACGGCTGCTGTTGCTATTGCGAAGTGTACAAGCATTCCCTGAGGAAGAAGGAAACTCACTGATATTCCCTCTTCCCAGTCACCAGTCCCTGCTCCCTTTTTCCTCTACGCCTTCCTTCTCTGAGGCCCAGACCCTCCAGCTACCACACCCCAGGGTGAAGTCAGCCGCAGGTCCCTCCAGGCCCTTCCCCTCCCAATGCTCCCATTTGGAGAGAGCTGCCCTCCAGTCAGAAAGGACAAGTCTGGGGCAAAGGAGCACAGGCTGCAAGAAAGAGATTCAGGCTAGATACAAGTGAGGACTTCCTGACCAGCAGAGGCAAGAAGGTCCCCCTTTCTGAGGTAGGGAGGCAGTCTTTAAATCCAGGACTGGTTCAAGTGGAGTTGTGGTCTGCCATCCCAAGAACAGTCAAGTTTCCTCCTCAAGGTCCTTTTTCAGACCTGTGGTACCGTTATCATTGCCAACTACAGCGATATCATTGTGCCTGTGTTTGTCTAAGCTGAGGAGCCCTGGATCACGGGACTCTAGGGTCCTAGATAAGGCAGAGAAAGGCTGTGTCCCCAGCCAGCTGAGGAGAGCCTGATGGTGTTTACCAAAAGCCTCCATGACTGGATTAGAATCCAGGACTCTCTTCTCGATTCTCTCCACTGTCTCATGTGTCTCTTGAGAGGCAGAGGAATTGGCAACTGTGGCATAGAACTTCATCAGGCACCGAGATGTCCAAGTCTGCAGAAGAAGACAGCCTCATGGTGGTCATGCCCAAGACTCTCCCCAGGCCCTGATATGGGTCTGTCTTAAGCACTTACTATGTGCCAGGCATGGTGTGAAGAGCTAGGAATACAAAGAAAGGTAAAACCCTTGTCCCTGACCTCAAGGAATGTATATTCTTTTCTTTTTTTTGGTGAAGCAATTGGGGGTTAAGTGACTTGCCCAGGGTCACATAGCTAGTAAGTATCAAGTGTCTGAGGAACATATATTCTTAACAGATAACATGTAAATGATCAGGTACATACAAGTTACATACAGAGTTGATGGAAGACATTGGCAGCTGGGGGGTAAGGTGGAGGGACCAGGAAAGGCCTTCTGCAGAAGGGGCGATCATGAACTGAAGCCAGAGAAACAGAGGCAGAGGTGAGGAGGCAGAACATTCCAGTAGGAAGGACAGCCAGTACAGGACCAGGCAAGGTCCACCCACACTGGTGTGCTCTGGAGAGAAAGCTGAGGACCTCTGAGGTCCCTTCCAGCTCTGGATCTCTGATCTAATGACCATAGCTTGAAAGCAAGAGGGCTTGGGCACCAGAGCCCTGGGGGGGGCATGAGGAGAGCCACACTCTTGTCTGGTGGAGTTCACTGGGTGGCCCTCTTTGAGCCACTGAGACTCTGCAGGCCTGTTTTCTCACCCTGGGAGGAGGCCTGCCTTGCCTACTTCTCAGGAATGTAGGGAAGGTGTGGTGATCGAGTGAGATCATAGAGTGAAAGGGAATTTTAAAAGTCAAATTACACTGGTAAGGAAAGTAGTCTAGGTGAGGACACTGAAGGAAGTATGCAGCCTGTGCTGGTGGGGATTCTGGGGCAGGCCTGCTCTGACTGGTTATGCCACTCTCTGGCTTTCGCCTTGTGAAATCTTTCTCATCTGCTGGAACTGCCAGCCAGGGGCCTCCGTCTCAAGAGTAACACCCTCTCAGTGGTTCCCTCCCATCTCCATCAGTCCTTCCTATAACCTCGGAAGCTTGGAATCAGGTTGGGAGGAGGGGAGCCTACCTGTCCCCAAGGATAACAATCCGCAATCTGCTAGGTCATGACATTACAGAATGCTAGTGCTAAAAGGGTGCTCAGAAGTCATTTAGGTCAACCCTGGTATTGTACAGGTGAGGAAACTGAAGCCCAGAGAGGGAACTTAACTTGCCAGAAGTCATGCACCTAGTGAGCAGCAGAGCTAGGCCTAGGACACAGGCCTCTCCCGACCTTCAGTTCTTTCTAGAACAGCTGGTACCACAGTAGATAGAGCCCTGGGCTTGGAGTCAGGAAGACCCGAATTCAAATCCAGCTTCTGACACCGCCTAACTGTGTGACCATGGGTAAGTCACCTCACTTCTGTTTGCCTCAGTTCCTCAACTGTAAAATGGGGATAATCATAGCACCTACCTCCCAGGTTGTCATGAAGATCAAATGAGATATCTGTAAAGCACTCAGCATAGTGCCTGGCACATAGCAGGCACTTAATAAATGCTTATTCCCTTTCCTTCCTGACTCTCCTACTACAGGGGTTAGGACTGAGAAAGCAGCCAAAGATACCCCTAAAAAGGGCTGGAGCTTCTACTCTCGGCAGACAATCAAACACCAAGGAGAACAAGGCTTGTCTGTTACCTTTCCTGCTCCACTCTCCCCACTAACAATGATGGACTGGTCGACAGGCTCCAGCAAGCTCTTGACATTCCTGTAGCTTTGCTCACCCACGGTGAAGATATGAGGCTTTAATTTCTGAAATACCCAAGGAACCCAACACATTGAGGGACACACAAAGAAACTCTCTTCTGAAATAAGTGATACACTGGGTGAACACTGAGATGGGTAAAGCTGCAAACATTAAGTTTAAAAGCATCCCCCTCTCCACAGCCCCAGCCCAGCAGGAAGACTTTCTGGAGAGATCAGAGATCCGTGCCACCCCCCCCCCCAGGCCTGCCCATCCCTACTTCCCCTACCCCTTCCTTCACGTCCTACCCCAGAAGTGCAACCCAATCGAGACATTTCTCCAGCTGTTCATACGCTGGCTTAGTAACTTGCTTCTGTTTTCTCTACCTCCCCTCTAAGAACTGTGCTGGACTGCAGACTGTGTGCTCCTCTGGGACAAGAGACCCCACCCGGGTGAGTCTCTAAGCCCAGAGCAGGAGCCCAGGCTTGCTGCTTTGTGATGCCATGACACAAACAGGGTGAGGGTTGAAGGAGTGAGCCAAGCTTGCCTGGAGCTGAGGTGCTATGTGGTAGTCCCTCATCAGCTCAGGGCAGTAGAGGTGAGGGACAGGCTTAAAGGGGTTCAGAGCCACAAGGGTGCAGCCGGCGGTGGTGTAGAATACATCCACTTGGTACCTCTCTTGTAGACACCTCAGGACTGAGACAGATGCATTGTTAATCAAAGTCCCCAGAGCGCTTGAGTGAGTGAGCACATGCACACACACACCCAGAGCTCTATCCCATCCTCCCCTCCCACAATTAGTCAAATGCCATTTTATACACTCTCCCCTGCTGATTCAGCTTAGATCTAATGAAAATGAAGCCCACTTAGGAATGGCCTCAGCCCTGTGAGACTCAAGCTGGAAGAGATGTGAATCAGCAATCTTGGCTTGGGATTCTGGGTCCCACCAACTGGCCTTGGGCAAGATGAACCATGGGAAGACGGGCCAACTACCCCCTAAGGACTCCCACCTCATCAGAGGCTTGCTCTCTACCTGTCGCTGGAGTCACAGGGTTTACTTTCGTGAGGTCGTCCAGCTCAGCCAACTGGAAATCACTCCCCAGGAAGACTTGCAGATCTTCACTGAGAGGGTCATTGCCACAGGAGAGGGGGCTCGTTTCTTGGCCATTGACCTGAGAAATAGAAAGAGAAGGCAGATGGGCATTGTGTTATGGGGAGAGTTCCACAGTCCTTGCTCTTCTCATTAGCGGGAAAAAGCTCAAGGCATTGTTATGGGCTCTGACCAGCTCAAATTCTTGTACGTGCAGACTGTGAAAATAAACAGGCAAGCCACAAGAGCCATTTGTGTAAAAACCCAAACCAGTCCAGTGTCTGGGAGCCCTTCTGTCTTCTGTTTGTAAGTAGGGCTGGCTGGCAAACAGACAGGGGAGAAGAGGAGAAGGGAAGGAACAAGGGGAGGGCAAGTACAAACTCTGGAAAGGTTATAAATCTAAACACACGTTCCCCATATCCAATTTCCTAAACAAACTGGTTCATTAATGACCTCCCCACCTTGCTGCTGGGGCCTAGAATTAGCCCAGCAAGTCTCCTCTGATTCTGTATCTCATGGAGGCAGAACTCAGCTCAGGGGGTCTTAGATCATTATCAGGTGGAGGCAAAGTTCTCCTCTCTCTCCCATCTGGTTGCTGATATTCTTCATGTTCCTGTCTTTCCCCTCCTGGAGCTCATTCACACCAGTTCATACCCTCCCTTCTCTCTTCACTTCATCTCAGACCCCAGGAGTGAAAAAGAAGGGCATAACTGCTTTCCCAGAAATGATGACTTAGTAGGAAGACGGAGAACCCCAAGTTTGGCATGTTCTTGTCCTCCTGAAACCCTTGATCCCTTCAAGATGCAAATGCAAACTTCTCACACAAGGCCTTATTTGACTACCACTCTTCCCCCTCAAAATCCAAAAAGTTATTTCATAATTTAAAAAATCTGTGTACATGAGGCTTCCTCCTGGTAAAATATAAGCTCCTTGAGGACAAGCTGTTTTCCTTTTTGTCTTTGGATCCCCAGAGCCTAGCAGAGTGCATGCCCTGGGTAGGTGCTCAAGAAATGCTTGTGGAACTGAAACGATTAGGCATTAAGGTGCTCAAATCTGAAGACAATGTTGAAAGTCAAAAACAGTTTGGTCATGAGACCTATAAAGGTATGGCAGGTTGAAGGTTGGCCAGCTGCTTTAGGCCCCTAAATTCAAGAGGCCAAGACAATAACAGGTTCCCTTGCAGGGACGAGGGGACATGGGCAGTTAGCTCTGCTATCTGTTCCACAAGCTGTTCACAAGGTCAAGGGATCTGGCTGATGAGAATATGGATAGAGCTGGCCACATCTTTTCCCACTGCAGCTTGGTGGTATCATAATGGCAACAGTCTTAGTCTAGAGGTGACTCTGCAAGTCAATGACTTGTCCAGGGGTCAATTTCCTGCCCTTTTCAACAGAGTCAAGTTATTTTCTACCTCCCTGCTCTTATTCCATCACTTTAAGATTTGGGGACAGGGGTTCAAACAGATGTCTGAGGGCCCTTCAGTTTGGACAGCCTGTTTTCTTATACTCTTTGTAAATGTTTCTTTCCCCCAGAACCTGTGCAGTTAACACCGACCTTCCCCATGCCAACACTGGCCTCTCCAACTGCTCAGTGAACTGAGAAGATTCCCACCCGTTCTCCTCTTTCTCTCCAGAACATGGTGTTCCCTTCCCAGGGCTAGCAGAGAGAGAAAGTCACCCTGAAAGAGGGCAGGGGAGCTCCATGGCTCCCAGCAGACAATGCTGGCCTTATTCCCCAAAGGGGTAGAGCCATACACATACCAGTTAGACCAACAGCTAGACTGGGTCCTTTCCAAGGAATAAGATTTGTTCAGGACCCTCTTGGAGTATTCCTGAATGTCTTTCTGCAATGAATCTGAACTTGCAATGTTAGGCTTCTTGGGGGCCAGACATGTTTAGGTGCAAATGGTACATTCTCTGTTCCAAGTCTTTTTTTCTGGATATCCTGTCTCCCAGAAAAAGGACCTGCCAACCCACTGAGGTTGTTCATAACCCTTTCACCTTTCCTGAATGGAGGTGGCCTCAATTGCCCACTGCATATAGGTCCTACTCCAGTCATGCTTTACCCTCTATCTCTTTGACAATCACCTTGCTGCTACCCAGTGTATCACCCCAACCAGTTTTAGTTCTGGAGCCAAAATCCAATCAACTGTGTCATTGCTCCTAAAAAGGGTATGATAATCTACTTCCCTATGGCTTCCAGAATCATTCCATTAACTTTCTAAACTAAAATATCCCCTAGGGTCACCACATCTCATTTATATTAGACTGTAAGCTTCTCAAGGGCAGGGATCATCTCATTTTTTCTTACTAGAGTGCTTGACAAATGTTTTTTCATTCATTTATTCACTATGGCCCTATCCCATCAAAAACCAAAAGGCTACCCCACATCAGAGCACCATGGAGGAACTTATCAAGCAGATCAATTACCAAAAGAAATGATGACAATAGCAGTAATGGGAAGAATCAACCCCATGTGGTTCATTTGCCACCATCTCTGAAGAGGGTCACCTGGCTCCCCTCTCCCACACAGTGGATGGAAGTAGGGGATTAGAGGTATGAGTATGCAGGAACCCCAGGTCTTGAGGAACCTTCACCATACTCCAGGATGGTTGCTGACCTATCTGCTGCTTCTGGTACCTCACACCACCCCCTCAGTCAAGCTCCTGTCTCTAACTGCTCTACAGAACTACTCCCTACGAAGTGTCTCCAACACCCTCCTTAACCACTAAATCCAATGGCCTTGTTTCAGACCTCATCCCCCTGGATCTCTCTGCAGCACAGAGCACAAAGCACCCTTTTTCCATGGGATACTCCCCTTGAAAAACTTCTGAGACACCCATCATTCTTCTGATGCTCCTTTTTCATGCCCTTGCTCTCCTCTGGGCCCCTTCATAGGGCCACTCCTCAAGACTCTATCTTCAGCCAATCTGCTTCATGTCTATGGCATTAACTACCAATTTAGTGGGAAAGCGTGCCTCAAATCTGCAACTCCAGCTCTGACCACTCCCTACCTCCCCCCACCCCTTTCTTTCAATGTGTCAAATCTGTGATTTCCAACTGCCTCCTAGGACACTTCCACCCAGATGATCCATGGCATTGTACCCCTTGGCTGGTCCCAAACATTATTTTTCTCCAAAATCTGCTCTTCTCTCCTCATCTTCCTATTTATATCAGTGACATAATCAATTTCATTCCAAGCCTTTGATATTTTTGATGACTCTTCTCTGTCATCACCCATGTCAAATTAGTTGCAAAGGCAAACTGATTCTACTTATACAATATTTTAACACTTTCTGCTTCTGTTCCCTCTATTCTTCTCTCACGTACCACTTATTGCTCTAACCTCTTAACTGACCTTTCTACTTTCACTCTCCTTCACTCCCTTCCAACTTAACCTTCATACCACTGTAGGAATAACATTCCTAATACTACTGTGCTATAAGAAACAATGAAGAGGCTGATTTCAGAAAAACCTGGACTTATATGAACTGATGTAAAATGAAGTGAGCAGAACCAGGAGAACACTGTACACAGTAACAACAATATTGTACAATGATCAACTGTGAGTGACTTAGTTATTCTCAGCAATACAATGATCCAAGATAATGCCAAAGGACTCATGATGAAAAATGGTATCTCACCTCCAGAGAAAGAAATGATGGAGTCTGAATGAATATCAAAACATACTAATTTCACTTTCTGTATTTTTTTCCCCTTTGGGTCTGTGTCTTCTTTTACAACATGATTAACGTTTTGCACGGATGAATGTGTATAACCTATAACAAACTGCTTACCATATCAGGGAGGGGGGAGGTGAGGGGAAGAGAGAGAATCTGAAGTCAAAATTTTAAAAAATGAATGTTAAAAATTGTCTTTACATGTAATTGGGGGGAAAATATTCTTTAAAAAAAATCCCTAAAGTACAATTTTATCATGTTACTGCTGCTCAAAACCCTTCAATGGTTCCCTATTGTCTACCAAATAAAGCCCAATGTCTTTCCCCAGCAGAGGACCTTGGCAAAATGGTGCCACTCTGCCTTGATGATCTTACCTCACAATGCTGTTCTCTGCACCCCAAGCTCCAACTGAAATGAATTTACCTATCCCCCCCCTGCCCCTCAAACAGCCAGGACCTTCTCTCCTCATCCTCACTTTGACTATTACTGTGTTCCCCAAACCCCTCACCACTGCTCCCTACCACGTGCTGGCAGCCCAGCAATCCCTTTGAAGGGAAGCTTGGCCTTGAGATTCAATTTCTGAAAATGCTCTCTTGACAAGCATTTCTTGTTTTGTTTTCAATACTGCTATTTAGACACTGTGCCTCATGATCCACTAGGGAGTCAGTACCAACATGGCTGAAAACTCCCATACATGCCTGCCACGGTGGCTCCTAAATAAGAATGGGGAGCACTTTCTCGTGGTCCAAGAAGCAGCTTTCTTAGCCTGTTCTACACTGAACCCACCTCAACCAAAACAGACATTCTGGGGGAGGAGAGGTCAAGGACACCGAAAGGAAGGAGCTAGATGGGAATGTCTGTCACACCTAGGTCTTAGTCACGGATTTTGCTCTTCCCTAGGAACCCCAGTCCTCTACTGTGAAGAGGAAATGGGGAACAACAACTAGGCAAGTTTGCCTGGAATACAGATTATGGGAAGGGGATTAACATGAAATAAGTCTGTAAGCAACTCTGGCTTTGAAGAGCTTTATGTTCATCAAGCTGAGGAATCTAGACTTCGTCTTAGAGGCAACAGGGAGCCTGTGAAAATTCTTGAACAGGGGAATGGCACAGACCTGTGTGCAGGAATATCACTTTGGAATCTATGTGTGTGAAGAATGAATTGGAGAGGGAAGGGAGAACAAGAAAGAGGCCATCTGAATAGCTCAGGGGAAAGCGGATAAGGGCCTGAGTGAGGGTAGAGGCCATATGAATGACAAGAAGTGATGGACACAAGAGACACTGTAGAGATAAAAATGACAAGATGTTAACTGACTGGACCATTTTTTCCAGGAGTGGAAAATTTTCCAACAAATTAGAAGCTGTTGACCTTGGAGACGTGCTATGGATACGGGTACCAGAAATCATATGCTTTTTGACAACTCTCCTTAGGGCTCCCACAGGCTCCTCTGGGATCAGCTGCACTAGACAACTCATGGTGCCCATCTCTGCCACTCTAGATTTGGGGATCAGAACCTGGACTCCCTTATGCTAGACAGTGTACTATGGAGGCCATCGCTTGTCATTTTGTATTTTTTTTGTATTTTTTTTAAGCATAGGCAATGGGGTTAAGTGACTTGCCCAGGGTCACACAGCTAGAAAGTGTAATGTGTCTGAGGCCGGATTTGAACTCAGGTCCTCCTGAATCCAGGGCTGGTGCTCTATCCACTGCGCCACCTAGCTGCCCCTATCGCTTGTCACTTTGGAAGGGCATTGCCTACCTCTCAGAAGCAACTGACCCATGTTCAACTGCCATTCACACGGAAACCTTTTTTATTTCAAGTTCTCATCTACTACCACCAAGAACTGTACCTATGAGCAGCAGCTCCAGGGACTACCATGAGAACCTTCTTCCCATTCCCACTGACCAGGTCAAGCCTAGAAAAATGAGTTCACACCATCCTCCTGCTTGGAAATTCATAAAGAAGCTATTTTTGTTACAGTTGACAGTGAAAGGTTAAAGATGAGTGCAAGGTTATCATGACCATCGGGTGCCTGGACAGCTCAGGCAGCTCCTGGAGGCCAGAATGGATACTTTAGAACCAGGTACTGTCAGGTAGAGGACAAGGCATCTGAAAGTCCTTGTTAAGATGTGAAAACTGTAGCAAAAAACCAAACCAAAACAAAAACAAAAACAAAGTGGCAGCTAGATGGCAAAGTGAATAGAGCTCTGGCCTTGGAGACAGGAGGACCTGAGTTCAAATCCAACCTCAGACATTTGACCCTTACTAGCTATGTGACCTTGGACAAGTCACTTAAGCCCAATTGCCTCACCAAAAAAAAAAAATGTGAAAACTGTGCCCCTGGTACTCATTTCCACTGGATACCTTGGGCTTAAGTCATAACCACCCAACTGTCTTGCCACAAAACAAATGTTCATGTGCCACAAAGAATAGAATGTTCTAGCACTTAAAAATGTATATTTATAACACGATGTGTTAAAAGTTGTCCTTCATTGACCTCTTGAGTACTGAACCCTTAGCAGATGCCTCCTCATTAATGCCACTAGGTTACCTGCTGCAGCATGTTGCTTTGTTTCCAGCTGGGGGTTTGGGTCACCAGATGAAGAGGATTTTATAGTTCTGAACGTGGGACAGCTGGAACATTGGCACAGTGAAGGGGTTTGACCTAGAGGAACCTGTGTAAGGCCAACTGGAGCACCTGAAAGAAGACAATGGAAACAATGAGGGTAAATATCGGAAGATCAATGTGTGTCTACCCATACATAGACGTATGAAGAAGGCATGAAGAGTTGAGCTCAGCTATGCTGGTAATGACAGCTCACTTGGGGATTCTGAGTCAGGAAGGCATGCTGTTCTCCAGGAGGTTGGGAATGAGGTCAGTGGCCCAGCAACAAGAAGACAGAGAGTGAGAGTCTGTCCTGTAAATTGCCAATTAGGAACCCGGGGAGAAATATTTATGAGAGTCCTGCCTGAGGAAGCTCAGGCTATTATTGCCAAGAGCCAATGCTACTTTGGCAACAAGGGTTCAGGTTAAATCCTCCAGGTCAGTATACCAGGAGAAAAATGCTCATCCCTGTCTCAAGGATCTGTGAGAAAGAAATGTCAAAAGTTATGGTGGCCTTCTTTGTGGGGAACTGGACTCAACATCTGATGATCCAAATTGCTTCTGAGCCCCAGTGAGAGGGATGGCCCAGGTGATTTTTAAAGTTCCTTCCAGCTCTAGAGATGGGGAACATCGTAGATGAGTCTGGTTCATTAATAACAGCAACTACAATAACACATTTCTATAGTGTTTCATGGTTTACAACGTGTTCTTCTCAATAATCCTAGGCAGGTAATGTATACATCTCCACTTTACAAATGGGGAAACTAAGGCTGAGAGATTAAATGACTTGCCCATGGTCACAAGGCTAATAAGTGTTGGAGATGCCATCGAGTTCCAGTCTCCCGACTCTGAGTCCAGAGCTCTTTCCACTTCTGCAGCGTTCATCTCTACCCTACCCCTCAAATGCTGAGCTCTTGGCCAAAATAAAAGCTGAACTTACGTGGGTATTGCTTTCCTCTACAAAAAAACCACACTTGGGAAAAGGAATAAAGAGGATATCCAGCCAGTAACTTTTTTTGTAAGAAATCGCAAGTGTCCAGAAGAATTTCCCAAAGATCCCATGATCATAGATCTAGGACTGCAAAGGGCATCTAACCCAATCCTTTCACTTTCACCCGGTGAGAAAATTGAAGTCCAAGACAGTTAGGTGATTTGCTCAATGTAGTAGTGAGTGGTAGAGCTGAGACCCGTCCTCTGGACTCAAAATCCAGCAATTTCAATTGCAGCTTCTCCCCCCCACACCTTCCTCCTCTCAGCCCAATTAATCCATCTATTAATCCATACTATTCACGCCGGAGGGTGGAAAGACCCCTAGACAAGAGTCAATAACAACAGCAGAGTCTGGATCCTAGGGCAAGCCTCGGGAGTTGGTTTCCTCATTTGTCAGATGAACAGTCTCTTACCTAGCTAGCCCAGCCTACCTTTCGGAGGTGCTGGGTGGGTCAAACTTAATTCTATCCGTAACTAACTGGCTTGGTTCAGGTTAGCTTCCCTGGGTTCTCCCTGCTCCAGGTTGGTCTGAGCAGCAGAGGAAGACTACTCGAGCCGGGAGCAGCGCCAGGTCACCCTCAGCGCATTCTTTGTCTGCAAAGAAAAATCACTGGAGGACAACCCCAAGGACAAGAGGCAGCCACACTGACCGTCAATTTTTCTTCCTCCCAGCGGGTCTAGCTTGGGTAGAAAGAACTCCAAGGGGCCGGGCACTGATTCCATCTATGGAGGCCACAGCCCAAGGGCAGGCGGACAGGGCAGGGCGGAGGAAGGAGACCCTGGCCCGGCCCTCCGGCTTCCCCCTCAGCCCAGGTCCGGACAAGGGGCTGTGCCTGGGGCTGGGGCGCAGCTCCCCTGGAAGCACCGGGATAAGGTTCGGGTGAGGCTGTCTTCCGAAGTCCGAACCCCCCGGCCTCTCAGCCCCTCCAGCCCCCAGCCCTCGTTTCCCGCGGCCAGCGTGGATCCCGGCGGCTTTCCTCAGCACCTCCCCCTAGCTCGGCCAGGGTCTCCCCCCGCTCTCCCACCACACCCCTGGGGCAGCCTGGGCCAGAAGGGGGAGAGATGAACCTGCAAGGTCTTAGGCTCCAGCAGGGACCTCAAGCTCCCTCGGGCAGAGAAGGGACAAAGAACCACGGAGGAAAGGGAGCGCCCCGAGCTCTCCGGGAGAGGCTTCCCTCACGCCCCAGCCATACCCAGGACCGCGGCCCCTCCCCCCCAACCCCCTAGGCCCAAGATGGGGGGAGGGAACCTCCCGGTGGGGCCGTGGGAGGGGTCACTTACCGCTTCCGTGGCCCCGGGAAAGGCGCGGATGGAGGTGGGAAAAAGCGAAGGGAGCTGGGGGAGGGGTCCAGACGACCGGAGAAAGGGGGGAGGGGGAGAAGAGGGCGCCGGTAGGCCCCGCCTCCAGGCGGGCGTGCCCACTTGGCGGGCAGCGCACGTGGCCCTCAAAGCACCCGGGCTCCCATTGGGAGAACTGAAAGGGAGCCTGTTACTTCGGGGCACCTCGGGGATGGCTGAAGGGGATGAGGAGGTGAAAGGGGAGGAAAAAGGATAAGGAAGAGAACGCTTGAGTTGCAGAGGAAGAGCAGCAGGAACGAGTCTGAGGCCTGTGAGAAGCCGGTGATTGACTGGGCATAAATGAAAGCCTTTTTCTGGTGTTGTGGGAGGCGAGTCGGACGCCTGGGTCCGCCCCCCCCCCGGGCCCGCCCCTGCCGAGTTCCCGGACCCGCCCCTGGTCTCCGAAAGGCGGGCGCCGGGCTAGGACTCTGGACCTCAGTTCAGGATCTGCGGCTGCGCAATCCTTTCAGTGGCATAACTTCTCGGCTTCTAGTGTCCTAACCTCACCCAGGCCCGCGCGCCCCGAGGCGGGAATCTGGACCGGATGTGCTAAGAGAGGGAGGACGGAGAGGAGAAAAGAGGGTGGGATTCACCCTCGCCCTGCGCAAAACGTGTGGAATCGGGCGGCTTGGATCAGCAGGCTGACTTTTCTGGCGGTCGAAAGCTTAATTACGGAAGGGAAGGCTCGGCCTAGCTGTATCCCCAGCGCCGGGGAGAGGATGCTTCCAGTCTGGCGGCTGCTTTTTCTGCGTGTTTCCCAGAACCTACAGGTCCTTTCTCTTCCCCCTTCCCGTCATCTAGTCCCTGGTACCCCTGGAAAAAAAAGTCTAGGCTTAAACCTAGCCCACTGGTTGAAGATAATAAAGGTCAGAGATGCAAGTGGGGCTGGTGGAGGTTCGAACGCGCGTGCTTGAACGGGAGGGGTTGTGCTGGTGAACCTGGGGATCCGGGCAGCACTGCAAGATTTGGAGGGGGCAGCGTATTTCTTGAGGAGCCCAATTACCAAGATTGGGAGCAGGATCATAATATTTTTTTAAAAGTTTTTTTTTTAAATTGAGGGTCATAGATAGGATTTAGCACCATAGATCCTCTAGTAAAACATCCACATTTCGAGGAGGAAAAATCCGAAGGCTAGGGGAGTGAAAATTTGTTCGAGGTCACTCAGAAAATTATTGGACAAGGAAGCTGTTCCCTCACAGAATGCTCATATGCCAGCGGTACTGTACCTCTTGTGTACAAGTTATTGCAAATATTGTTCTGAAACGCATAACTTAAGTTATTTTTAAGAGTAATTGTTTTAAATCTGTTTTGTAAAAATATAAAGTACAACAGAATTTCCGGAATACTGATTAAACTATTTACATTAACATGTGATGTGCATGATTTAATAAAATTACTCTCCCTACCGAAAAAAAAAAGTTAAAAGCTGAAGCTGAAAACCACCAACCTGATAAGGCCAATAAGGCCCTTCAATAAATGCCTAATTCTCTTTGGATACTGACTTTTAAAATTATACAGTGAAAGCTAGATAACAATTTATGTTAATAGAGGTATATAAAACTCTTTAAATAAGGCTAGTAGTGCAAGTACTACTTTCCATATTTTGCAAATGGTTCAGAGAGGTTATAACTTTACTAGTAGAGGTTTTAAGATTTACTTTACAACTATTAAGTGGATCCACACTTGGCGTTATTAAATCTCAGGTTTGATTTTGTTGGAGATTTTGTTTGAAAGAAAAAAAATCATAACTTGGTTGTAGTCATGGATTAGGTGATTTAAAATGATCTTTTCAGCTCCAGTATTCTGATTGTCTGATGTGAATGCATTACATTAAAAAAAAAGTAAAGCTTTACTATCCACTAATGCCTTTTTTGCCCGAAGTTCAACATATTAACAAACTGCTGAACCTATCCATACTCTATACTTAAGTATATAATATGAAATCAGGGTAAGGATAGGGACTCCTCTAAGCCCATTACATTCTCATTAGGGGAAAGGAAATAAACATTTATATGGGCACCTACTGCATGCCAGGTGCTTTGTTATTCCTTATTTTACAGTCAAGGAAACTGAGGCAAATAAGAGGTTAAGTGACTTGTCCAAGGTCACACAGATAAGTGTCTGAGGTTGGATTTAAACAAGTCTTCCTGACCCCAGGCCTGGTGCTCTATTCACTTACTCTGTCCACTCCTCATTACTTAAGTCACACCATGTATACATATGAATTTTTTAGCATTGGAAGACTTGACCTTAAAAGAGGCTACAAATACATAAAATGACTTGCTCAAAGTCACAAAACTTGTCATAGGTTTCTGTGTAGATGGTCTTTTATACTATGGCTACTAATATATAATGTACATATACACACACACATAACTGAGTTAAAATCAGTTCCTTTTCATTTACCTTTACTGTATTATGTATCATGAAGTACAGAACACTGTACTTTGCTGTGATGATTCACAGAATGTTAAAGCTGAAAAATACTTTAGAAATAATCTTTTAGATTTTAGAAATAATTTTTATAGATGATGAAAGCCTAATTTTGCCATACCAGTATGGATGTTGAACTAAAAGAACCTGAATCTTTTTGAGCTTTAGTCAGGTATTCTTTTTATACTATACTGCCAGCTGTGATATAGGCTCACACCAAGGAATGCCTAGCATTTACCACTGCCATGTAATATAATCTCTCCTTCTCTCTCCCCTTACCTGAGGGGGTTCTGCCCAAAGGAAGGTGAATTTTGATGGCCTAAAGCTACCTAGTTAACTTGAGGTTTACTGGCTATATTTCTTTTTCAAACACCAAGCCTAAAACCCAATTCACTCTGGATCTCATGGATTGGACAATAATAGGTCCCTGACCAAGTACCACTTAATGGTTATTTTTTGGGCCCTCTTGCTCAGACTGAATATAAATAGTAACTCTCTTTTGGCCAGCTGCCTGGATGGTCTTCCCCTCCCAGTTTGATTTTTTTTGTTTTTAATTAAAAGGGGCCATCCCCTCATTACTTCTTAAAAAGGCCCATTCACTGAATGAGTGTTGCCTCACTCAAAGTGAGAACCTGAAAAGACCTTAGCTTAAAAGGGCCAAGGTCTCCCATTGCATCCTGGGCCACCTCCACTCAGCCTGATCAATATCTGGCCAATGGACTCAGATGGCTCTGGAGGAGAAAGTGAGGCTGGTGACTTTACACAGCCCTCCCTCACTCAAATCAAAGTCAATTGCAAGTCAACTCATCATCTTGATGTCATGGCCCTCTTCAAGAAGGAAGGAAAACTACAATCTCTGGAACTCAACTAAGGTTGCTCCTTTATTGTTACTATGCACTTTGCTAAAGAACAGAATTTTTTCTATGAGATCTTAGTAGCAGTGAAATGGCTCATTAAAATATTTTAAAATTATTAAGATTGCTAATTACTTGGCAATATGACATTTCCATAAATCATATTGGACATTTGTAGAATATTGTAAATCTCAACTGTTGCTTCTTTTCTGATGATTGTTATTACCTGGGTGATACTCCCTGGATGATATTCCCAGGAAACTGTCCAATGGAAAGACCAATGTATGGAGAAATAGGTTCTGATTGTGGCTCTGCCACTAACTAGCTTTGTGACCTTGGGCAAATCACTTCATCTCTTTAGGTCTTAGTTTCATTATCTATAAAAGGGAAGGCTGAGTTAGATTTATCTAATAGAATGGAAAAGTGGAGTGACTACTGGGTTTGGAGACAGACAGCCTGCTCAAATCTCTGCTGCTCTACCAATTAATAGCTCTGTTATCCTGGGCAAATTCTTTCACCTCTGTCTCTCAGTTTTTTCAATGAGGGGGTTGAGCAAGAAGGCCTAAGTTCCCTTCCAACTCTCCATCTATGATCCTTTTGATTCAAAACAGTTTAATGCCGTTAGTATTGGGCTGAGAGTGAAAACAGATGGATTCTGATTGTCATTCAGTTCAATTATACAATTCCAAATTTTCTCCTTGTATCATGGTAAAAATTTGGCCTCATAGATATGGAAATTTCATAGTATTCAATTTTCTTATAAATTGATTTATTTGCTCTTTTTATATAGGAAGAAAAAAATGTCTCAAAGGCAAATGAAGGAGGCCTTTGTCAGCAACCTCAATGGAACCAGCCTTCTGGAAATTTCAGCTGGTTTGGCCTTGCCTCCACTTTGTACTATATGTAGAGGTCTGATATTCGTTCTGTCACAACTCCATCATGCAACCATCTCATATAAATGGGGAGCTCATCTCCTCACTGACTTTGTTTTACTTGTAGTGCCCTTGGTAGTTTCTTGCACCATTCTTTCTTCTGTGATCTTTCTTATGCCACCTGTCTTAACCATTTTAGGTACTTGGTTGTTCTACCAGATATATAACAAGAGGACCTATTACGTCAGGGCACCTGCCCGGAAATCATTGATGCATTCCTGAAAATCAGAGTAGATTCCAAAAACATTCCATCTATTACTATGTTCCGTGTTTATATCAATTTGGTCACTGCTATCAGCATCCTGGCTGTGGATTTTCCACTTTATCCTAGACGATATGCCAAAACAGAGCTCTATGGAACAGGACTGATGGATTTTGGAGTGGGAGCCTTTGTTTTTGGGAATGCTATCGTTTGTCCAGAGGTTAGAGGAAAACTTACGCCCAAACAGTCCAGATGTTATTACCCTGCAAAGCAGTTGTTCTCTGTTTGGCCATTAATAGTGCTAGGGCTAGGGCGACTGACCAGTGTCAAGTCCATAGGCTATCATGAACATTTATCTGAATATGGAGTTCACTGGAACTTTTTTTTTACCTTAGCAGTAGTAAAAGTGGTAGCCTCTTTACTCTTGATTCTTTTTCCCCTTAATAAATCTTGGATTGTGGCTGTCATCATTGCCATATTGTACCAAATATCTCTTGACTTTGCACAGCTCAGGATGATTATTTTGCATGGCACTGATCGAAAAGGCACAAGGATCAGTTTCCTAAATGCAAACCGTGAAGGAATCATCTCCACCTTTGGGTACGTGGCAATTTATATGGCTGGTGTGCAAACAGGATTATATGTGTTAAGGGTAAAACCTCTTGTCAGAGACTGGATCAAAGTGGGATGCCATCTTTTATTGACAGCTGCCACTCTCCTTGGGTTTCTTTACATATGTCAAATATATGTAGATGCAGTTTCTCGAAAAATGGCTAATTTAGCCTTTTGCATTTGGATAGTTGCTTACAGCCTAACATTTCTTAGTTGGCTGATAATAGGTAATGTGATTTTGGTCTTCACCAAATTCCTGATTAAAGGAGCTACTTTGCCAAGTTCTTGGGATCTCATCCAGACACTCAACACAGATAAAAAGCCTTCAGAGCCTCTGGCCCACCGAAATGGAAGAGAGCTGCCAAGTCTTTGTTTAATTGCTGCCATTGACCGAAACCAGTTACTTTTCTTCTTGCTGACAAACGTTTTGACAGGCTTGGTCAACCTGACTGTTGACACTCTACATAGTAGCTCCTCTTGGACTTTAATAGTACTTCACCTGTATATGATTAGTAACTGTTTAATTATGTATGTCCTGCACATACAGAATATTACTGTAAAATGCTGGTGATTATTGGGGCAGTATAAATGGGGTAATGATAAATGTTAATAATGGATTTTTGCGATTAGATGATTAATTTCACCTCAAAATTACAAACTGTCACAAATACAGACGTATAGCATCATGCATTGATTCTTATTTATTTGATATACCTTAACATTGCATATAGTACTGGATGTAAGATGAAGCAGTGCTTCTGAAATTCCCCATAGGTTACTTGATAAATGATGGTATTCCAGTCAAGGTGTAGATCCTTTATTATAGCTCAATTTAAAAAAAATCTTATAAGACAATTTTTAGCCTAAGTATAAAAGCAATCATTCAAAACTTGCATTGGTATTCTAAAGTGCATAGTACAGAGTGACATGCAATGAATATTAACAGATAGCACAAGGCAATAATAAGTAAATAGATCATCCTATTTGTGATCTTCAGAAAATGATTCTTACATGACTTTGTATTTATATAAGATAGTCCTGGTTTACAACTAAAAATAGATGTAACTGTGTGGTGTGGTCTACATACCAAATAATTATGAGGCATTAGATGATGTTTTCCTCTCAGATATAACTACCTACTAAAAAAAGAAGTGAGTCTTTAGATAGCTAGAATGCAGTCCAGTTTAATTAAACTGACTTTGGCTTGACACATCCTCTTTTAATGATTTAACATTACTACCTCCCCATCCCCAAAATAAGAGCTGGGTCCCTTTGAAAACATTTATAGGCTTATGCAAAATCTTTTGATGCAAAAGATTGTAACCTCATATTGGCCTTTTGTATTCCTGAATGAAAATTTGTATCTTTCAGAAGCATTTTATTTTAAAATTTTCTATACAATGTCAACCAATTTAGAATTTGTTTTACATTTGCAGAAAACTTTATATAACCAGTTATATCCTGAATTAGTCTATTATTGAGAGGCATTTATTTTTTCCTTTGAGGCGATCCATTCAATGAACTGTTCATGTAGCCACAAAAATAAAAATCATTGAGATTGTTTTCTATTTTCGAATAAGAATTTAGGCATTTAGCTAATAGAATGGCAATATGCAAATTAAGCATGGCAGGGAAAGGTGATTGGCTCACTTGCTGTCTATGTCACAGTCCCAGCACCCACAACCAGTCTCTTCATAGCGAAGGAGAGAAGGGCAAAGAGGCACTAATCCTGTTGGTCTCTCATTTTATAAAGTAATTTAAAGTAAGTTATCCAATGACTTAATGAATATGTTGGTTGAATAGTACATTTTTTGTTGTCAGTAGTCATTCTTTCACTCTCCTATGGCTGGGGGGGTACCTAATAAAGTAATCAATTCCAAACAGTTAACGAAAGAAATCATAATTTGAAAAGATCAAAGTGGATTGTCTTTTTCCCTTTCACTTAGAAAAGTGTGTAAGTAAAACTTAATGAATAGCTTACATAATTAACAGAAGGAATAATACACAGACAAGACCTCTCATTTGGTGATTCCGGTTTATAGGGAGCCAGGTAATTTACAGGAGTTACCTTTCTCTTTAAGATCTAAGTGGGGGAAATGTGTATGTATTTTTGACAGATACAACAGAACCTCCCACTGTCAGCTCATGAAAAAGAAAGCTCAATTTCACAGATTCTACACATTTGGACAACTGAGGTAATTAATATCACATTCTGCTGTTAGATTTTACTAACATGCAAAACCACAAAATATTTTAACCTCTAATATTACAAACAAAAAGCATAATTTGTAAGGAGGGAGGAAAGAACATTATAGTAGGAAGAAAATGAGAGCAGGAATTGTTTAGGAAGGAATGTAGTCTCAACTAGGACATGCTAACTGTGATCTTCAGAAAATGATTCTTGCCTGACTTTGTATTAATATAAAACAGTCCTGGTTTACAACTAAACCAGATTTTACGTGTGTGTGTAGATGTGTATGTATGTGTGTATATATGTGTATGTGTATATGTATATATATTAAAAATGAGTTCAATAGTCATGGGAGTGGAGTGTGTAATGAAGACTAAGAGGTATATACAGCAGAGTGCAGTTATTTTAGGTCAGAGGACCCGAGTTTGAATCCTGTCTCTTATAATTAAGGCTAGTTTGAACTTGAGAAAATTACTTAACCTCTCTGGGCCTCAGTTTCTCTTCCAGGGTATAATTCTAGGATTCTATGAATTTTGATACATACATAAAAATATTGTACAAAGCATACAAAAGAAAAAAACTACCTAAAACAGTAAAATAACTTTCTTTAAAACAGTTGAGGAAAGAGTAGGTTTTCCTTAGTTAATGACCTCTCAAATGCTTGGAATCTCTTCCAAGAAGATAAATTCAGAAAGACTCTTAACAACCCCACTTTAAACAAATATTTATTAATAGTAGTTAAGTGGTCTGGTCTGTTGCTGGCCTTATTTCCCACCCACCCCCAAGTGCCACCCTAGCCTTGCTCATTATGAATTGAATTTTTTCTTTTTGATCCAATTCTTAAGGAAACCAGGGAGAAAAGTGAATGTGCCTTCTTCCCCCCCCCCCCCCCCCCCGTGTTTGGCAAAATCGTGGCTATGATGTTATTCTTTTATCAAAGAATTAACTTGTAAGCTTTGTATGGACAGGGACTTGATTTTTAACTTGTATAATGCCATGCATATAGTGAGCACTTAGTAATGTAAATGGTAGTAAGAGGCAAAAGCAATGCTGGCTTTTTAAGTCATTTAAACCGATAAAGAAAAGTAAGAATCTGCCCTGAAATCAGGGTGGCATACAGCAATCAATGAAATACAGTTGCTACACCTAATTTTTCTCTAGCATCTTTCCCTAAATATGTGGTAAGATTACTCCCTCCTAAACTTCTAGCACCTTATTCTCTGAGAGAGTAATCAACCCAACAAGTACTCCCTCTCTCCTGCAATAGTCAGAAAGTATTTATTGAATGTCTAGAGGATATGAGACACTGTCCAAGGTACTACTCAGTAAGGGGCTCTTATTTGGTAGACCAAAACCCAAGTCAAATGTAGGTCACAGAAAGCAAGCAATACCAGATTGAAGAAATTTTAGTAGTTTTAACATATTATAAGTCCAGATCTCATTGCCTTTTCTAAAGTCTCCAAGGTAAAAGACCATGTTCTTTTCAAATAGCAACATGCCTAAGCTCAGTAATGTTACTAAAATTAGCACCTATGCTGAAGCTTGTCCTTTTCAATCAAAGGTAACCAACCAAAAGAACTTTAACTGATATAATTAGGTCAACTTAAAAGAAATGGTGATAGCTTATTTGACAGAATCACGTCTAGACATTAACAGTTACAGGTAGCTTTTTCAAGAAAATGTTCAGGTTTTTACCAAAATCTAAATTCTTGCACACCACACACAAATTGCCATTTTGTAGAGTAATAATCATACTGTTCTAGATGCTAAAGTGTGATACAATGGTTAGGTGATAGACTCCCTACCCTCTTGAAGCTTACTGTGTGTGTGTGTGTGGATCCACACGCAAATATATACAAAATAACACATGGCACTCCCAGCTGTCCTTCTAATACATCACCAAAGAGCACAAATATTTATTGGACAATCATACCTTTAGGACTGAACAATGCTTCTTCCAGCTTATGTCACTCACCCCACAGTGACCACACAATGTCATAAGTCAACATGGCTGAGGATGCACTGTAGGGTTTTTTTTTGTTGTTGTGAATCTCTAAGACTTTATGTGATGACCAAAATAGCTTTTAAAGGTCAGTATCACAGCTCCAGGCTATTATCTCAGGATTCATATATCTGTCTTTAAGTTAGCTACTATTAGGAACAGTAAAATAGCGTTTATCCTGAAAGGCTCCGGATTTTTCCTTAATAAGACACACAATCTTTTTATAGCAATCCTAAAAGTCAAGTTTCTTTCTGACAGCAGCAAGCTGAATACTAAACTGCCACTGTGGCAGCTCTACTCAAGAAACGGCCAGAAGGGTCTTTTGCCCTTTGCCCAAGTGAATCAGTGCCCTCCATCTGCCTTCTCGAGTTAATATTAACCTAATAGGCTTCTCTGACTTATTCAGAAAAAGCAACTAGGTTATTCCACCCAAACCTGGTTTTGGCATAACCACCATTACCACTTGATATGGTGGGAATTTTTCCCTCTAGGGTATCTCGGGACCCTGATGAAATAAGAAATAGTCTTAATGTTAACCCCTCCTCCCTCCCAGTCCCCATTTAGGTTAAGTCGGTTCACTTTTTCTAGGGCTCGGTGTCCACTTCTGTAAGAAGAGGTTGGACTAGACAACTTCCGAGGTCTCCATTAAGGCTTACACTTGCTTGGAGGCTCCGCAGAGCGGGTCCTTCTTAGTGAGTTGGGAGGCGGGGGAAGGCTTTCCCGACCTTTCTTCCCAACGGTAGGTGGGTTGGGCCTGGGGCAAGGGAGGGATTCTCATTCCCCTAAATTGAACTCTCCAAATCCTCCACGCCGCCCCACCCTCGCCTGCACTTTCCCTTGCCCTTCTCTACTCACCACCTCGGCCATCTCTGCCCTCACAGACCCTCTTCTCTGCTCCCCAGGCCCCAGAGCCGCCGTCGCGGCCTAACCCGGCTTCTCCTTGCGCCCGCCTGCCCGCCTACCCTGGTCTGGCCCCGGTTGGCGGTTCCCACCCCCTACCCCCGCTTTGGGCTGATTTAACGCAGTAGATTTGTGGTACGGACGTGGGTTAGAGCTAAAGACTGGCAGTCCCGGTTCTGAGGACCGCGCTGCAGCTGCGGCCGTTGGGGACGCCCGGTAGGGCCGGTTACGAAAGGAGAGGCTCCCGCCCGCGGCCGTTGGCTGGCGGGAATATCGCGAGAGGGGGTGGGGCTCCGGGAGGTAGGTGTCTTCTCCCTCCCCCCTCCCACCTCCTCCCCTCTGTCCCGGTGCTCTCTCCCTCCCCCTTCCCCTCCTCCCTCCCCACGCGGCGCGAGCGGCTGACAGACCCGGGAGAGGAAACGGCCCTCAGAGCCGCGCTCCCGCCCAGCCCAGCCCGGCCCCGCCCCGGGCCTCGTTAGCCGGTAATGGGGAAGAGTGGAGTGCTAGGCAGGGATAGCTAGTGCCTGGACTGAGTAGGGGAACGGGGGTGAGGAGCTCGGGGCGCCTCCGGCCCCCGCCCTGCCTGGGGCTTCGGGAGGGGGGATGGGAAAGACTCCGTCCCCAGCGCCCCCTAAGGTTCGGGGCGGGGCCCCACCCCTCCCTGGGGCTGGGCCGCGCCTGGGAATGGGGACTGACAGAGCGGGAGCGCGCCTGGTTCGCGGGGGCGTGCCTGGAAGGGGAGGGCAGAAAAGGGGGGGAGGCGTCGCGCGCGGTGGCTGGAGGGCAAAGCGGGTGCTAGAGCGAGGCCGAGCCTGGGCTGGGGGAGCCTGACAACCGGGCCACGGGAGGAGGGGCTGGCCTCTGAACTCTGGGACGGGCGGGGCCCGGGACTGCGGCGGCTCTGACTGGCTGGGGAAGTCCCCTTTCTGGCGGGTCTCTTCCGCCGCCTGGTGTTCCTGACAGGAGGCTGGGTCGAAGGCGTGGGCGGAGAAGAGGCAAGGAGAGGGCGGGTTCGGGCGTTTCTTGACGCTGATTGGCTCCGAGCGTGTTGAATCAGGCGATGGAAAACGCTGAGTCCGTGCGCGGCCGCCCCTCTCCCTCCCCCCGTGGCGAATGTGCGGCGCCGCGGCGGCCTCGCTTTACGCTCGCGGGGTTTGGCTGTTGCAGGCAGGAGCAGGGAGGAGGCGGCAGTAGCAGCAGGAGCGGCGGCTATAGCAGCAGCGGCGGCGGCGGCAGCAGCTGGGAAGCGGTCGTGACGGCGGCGACAGCAGCAGCAGCCACATCGGAGACGATGGCGCGGCTGGTGGCAGTGTGCAGAGACGGGGAGGAGGAGTTCCCCTTCGAGAGGAGGCAGATTCCCCTCTACATAGACGACACCCTCACGGTGAGCGGGCCGGGCCCGGGCTGGGCCGGCCTGGCCTCTCCCCTCCTCTCCTTTCCCTCCGCCGCTTTGGCAGCTGTTCTCCCCTCTCCCCCTCCCCCAGGCCGAGAGCTGCGCAGTGGAGAAAGACGAGGGTGTTGCAACTCCTAGGCGAGGCCTTCCCTCTCCGCAGGCCCGACACTCACTCCCTGCCCCTTGGTTGGACAGGGCCGCTCCGGCCCCGGCAGGCCGCTCCTCGCCCCCTCACCGATTTTCGCTAGCCTTTTCCACATCTCCACCCCATTGGGCTTGTCCCATTCCAGGAAACATGCCCCAATTCAGAGCAGACGCCTTGTAAGAGGAACGCCAGAGCCACGGGCATTTTAGGGCCTATCTCTTTCTGAAACCATCAACCCCCGAGGAGACTTAATGATCATCGGCAACTGTCACAGCTGGGCTGCTGCTACCTGCATGTTTGTGTTTCATTATATGCAGCATTGTACCTGCAGTATAGCTTAAATACTGAAGTTTGTCGGCATGCCTACCCATTCAGTAACACTTTCGCCAGAATTATTTTTATTTAGCTCTTCATTTAACTTCTTACCCTGAGGGGAAGGATTGTCTATAATTTATTCTCTGAATTGTCTAACCCACTTAAGAAACTAAGAGTGATTTATCTCGCCAGGCTGTGACTCCTCAAATAGATGTTCCTGGCATTAAAAACAACAACATTGTGTTTAATTTTCCAGTTATCGTTTATTTAGAACCTTTTTTTAAGATATAAATTTGTCCAAAAAGAGCTCTAGAAAAGCCGCTTCCTGTGTGATTGGGTGGTTTACAGTTCTGGGTTTACGATTCCTTTCAGGAGTTAATAGTCCTACAGTATTACCTGACTCTGTTTTTTAATGTACTGTATGAAAAAAGGTGTTTCCTTTTGGAGGAAATGGCAAAAACTTGCAATTGAATCTTAACAGGAAATAAAGAGTGCAGTTGCTTGTCACTATTTTTAAAGATCTCTGATCAACGTTTTCTTTTTTGAAATCTGTTTTTGATATCCTGAAGTACGTAAGTTTATTGGAGTTTAGAACTAGATTTGGATGAAAATAAACTTGTTTTCAAAAGAAAGGTTTATGTATTTCAAACCTAAATTGTCTGTTAATTGATTTTATGTATAGTTGTGAAAATAATGCCACCTAAAATTTATAATAGCTGTTAAAATGCAAGTCATTGTTAGAGATGCCACTCTTGTTGGCCAGTGTCAAGACTGGATTTAGGTGTTTATGTTTATGTTTATTGAGGATTGAGGTGTTTATGTTTAAAACTGAAAAGTGTGACTGAGTTGACTGGGTAATTTGTTGGAAATGTTCAAGGCAAAAAAGCTATAATCATAATTAGTCTGGTTACTTTTTGATGGGAAAAGAGTGGAGTACTTTCTGTAGTCTTAAGACTTCAGGAAAGAGGATTTATCAGAAAATAGATGCATGTTTTGAGTACCCTTTTAACCTTCTATATGAAAAGTTTAGGGAAACTTCATTTTAAATTAAAATTAATATAGCATCCTTGATATTTTAAATGGTCCATTTATCCGTTAGAATAAATGCTCACGCAAACATTGTGTATACTCTCCCTCTTTTTGTTTATCCCAAAATATCCTTTCCCCTAAGATCTTGAAGTGGAAAAAAAAATTCTTCTAGAGAATAAAGAGGAGGGAGAGAGATTGGATGTAAGGAAGATTATATGGGGCAAATGGCAAAAATTTGAATACTTAATGAATTTAAAACATTCAGTCTTCCAGGTTTACATTTTAATTTTAGCTCTTAATGAGGAATGATAGGCTAATATCTAAATATTTGAAGATAGTATTTGAGGTTTCATGTTAAATATCTGTCAGTGATGATTTGAAATTTTACTTTTTGAAAAAAGCTTTTCCCCCCTACATTTTGAACATTTTATACTTCTCTTAAATCACTTAATATTAGCTTTTCCCTGCTTCTAGTTTTTATCTTGCTTCTTGAGTTCAGAATTAGGAAAAAGAGAGCAGCAAGTATACTGTTTAGGCTTAATTTAAACAACATTTCCTTTAAAGAAAAGCATTTTATATTGGAAAAATGTGAACTTTAGTTGCTTAGGAGAATGAACTTATTTAGGAGTTCGGCATTTTAATCACTAAATGTTTTTTAGTGAAATATTTTTCCCTCAGATGCACTGTAATGGAAGAAATAAGCTGCTTGCAGAGCCCTTCTTTTCTCCCTAATGTGTTAAGAAAAATAGCAAATCCAGTCACCTGTTGACTTGGGGGTGGGAGGACGGGAGATTAGGAAGGAGCAGACCATGTTCTTCTGCAAGAGAGAAGGTATGATAGGCTTTTGTGGGAAATGACTTAGTAATGGTGTTGATAAATTCATTGAGTTTGAGCTTTTGTTCCCTTTATCCTTTGATAAAATCCTGAGCAAAGTATGTTCTCTGGAAAAACATTGGTGCATTTTTAGTAGTCATCAGTATTGATTGCTTCTTGGTAGCCATGTGCTTAGTGGATTCCACTCTTAACATGCTTGTGATCCAGGAAGCAATAACATTGGATGGGAGGGAAAGAAATTGTAGAATTTTAGAAACTTTTCAGTACCAGTGTTCTAGAAATACTTCTAGCACTTTTTAAAAATTGATTTTTGTTAGTAACTAGATTAAAAATCTATCTAGTGAATATGTAGATATCAGACTGAGGATAGAAACAGAAAGGAACTACATTTGAACTTGTTTAGTAGAATGAATTGAAGAGTAATATAACTTTAACTCACATTTAGCACTTGTAGAGTGAAACAAGAGCGAAAACTGACTTCTCTTCCAATGTGGAATGAATTTTTGTTAGATGTTAAACTAAAATCTAGAAGTCTTATCTAGATCCCATCTACAGTTTCAACACTTGAAGCCTTTTGAAAGAAGTAACCTCAGGTACTATTAAAGTAGTACATAGGCCTCCTAATGCTGAATATCATTGTAACTTCAGCATTAGGAGGCCTTTGTACTATAGTAGTTAACAGTGTGCCAGATGTAGGAAGATGGATTTGAATGCTTCAATCCAAAGCTATAATATGTAGGCATTTTATCTTACTTGAGAAAGAATCCTAAAGATTAATATTATAGACTACTTGGAAAGCAGCAATCTGTCTGCATTAACATACTGCTTTTAATTCTGTGAGAATTACAAATTTAAGAAATGCCAGGAACACAGGTTTGAATTTTAGTGAAACCTTTGAAGAGTATTTAAATTTACCAGAAAGATACTTTAGCCTTTGTATATGATAAATGTTAGCTTCTGCTTGGAGGTGTGGATTAGTGTGCTATCAAAAGGTACGTGGTTTTTCATGTTTTCTCTTTGGAATCTTGATTTAATAGCATTGGAATATATTTTGCAGAAGGGATTATGTTGCAAATAAAAGTTGAAAGAAGAAATTCAGGGTGAATGAAGAAGCATTTATTAAGCACTTACTATGTGCCAGGTGCTGGGGATACAAAGAAAAAGTGAGACAAACACTACTGTCAAGGAGCTCAAACTCTAATGGGGGGGGCTGGAGTGGTGTGAAGATAACACATAATGTTCAGTTGCTGGAGAGATCTTAAGGGATAGAGTAATGGCAAAGTCCAGGGGTCCTTTTAGTAGAACATAAATGAAAATGATTTGGATAAATATATTCTCACTCACTGGCAGCACAGCAGGGGAATAATCTTAAGAACAAGGGAGGAGAATAAACATTAAGCACCTACTAAGCCAGGGTGGGGAACCTTCAGCCTCGAAGCCACATGTGGTTGGCCTTTTGGCTGAGTCCGGGTTTTGCAGATCAAATTTTGCTTGGCCTCAAGGCTACAGGTTCCCCACTCCCATACTAAGCATCAAGCACTGTGCTAAGTGCTTTACAAATATCTCATTTGATCCTCATGGCAGCCCTGTGCAGGACAGCATCTGTTCTATCTTTAGGTGAGTGCACATGCAGAATATTTGAATGTACTGTTTAGGTCACTTAAGAGATTTTTAAAGAATAAAAAACAAAACAGTGCCATTTTTTCCTCTTTCCCCTTTAAGTAGTTAATAGTACATAATACCTTATGTAGAACTTGGCCAAAGTACTGCCAAGGCAGAAGACACTGTGTTGGAAATAAGTTATTTAGCTCATGAGTGTTGGAAAAATGGCATAAAACCACTGCAAGGGAAATTGTCCACTGCTGAGACTGCCGTTGCAAGACTGGCACAATCGAGGCTGGACACAACACAGGATATATTGGTGACATAATAACTTGATCTGTAACCAGATGTAAAGGTTCATGAAGCAAGGGTATAACAACCATAATGCTTTCCCTCTAAGATTATCTCTAGTTTTTATCTTACCTGTATCTTGTTTGTACATGGTTGTTTGCATGTTGTCTTCCCCATTAGACTGTGAGCTCTTTATGAGCAAGGACTCACCTTTCTCCCCTTTATATCCTCAGGGCTTACTAAGCACAGTGCCTGGCTCATATTAGATGCTTAATAAATGCTTGTGAATAAATGTTCTGATGAGCATCAAAGTTTGTGATATATTAAGCATTTTCTTTTGTTCTGCTTTCATAAGACTGCAAAACATTATTAGATGGAAACAAAAATCAGTTTCCCTAAACATAGCTAGAACTTGGGGTATCACACACTGGGTCTTCAAGTTTGTATCTTTAAAAAAACAAACAAACAAACCCTCCAAGTCTTTTTAGATTGATATTTCGGGCTCTTAATAAATGCTTATTGACTGACAAAAAAAACCAGTGTAGGTAATGAGCTACTGATAAATTTTGCGTAATTGGACATAAAGCACAGTGTCCAATTACAGCATAGTATGATAATATCTCTTAGTTAAGCAGGTGAAGATACAAATTTTAAGTAGTCCACTTAAATAGGTATGAAACAGCATGTTGCTTCTATTGATTCACATAACTCCCAGAGATTTGTCTTAATGCTTAATTGCTTGCTAACTGAATTTATTTTTATGTAGAAAACAAAACCCTAAAACTGCAATGACTCTAGTATGTGGTCTTGTGTTTTGCTTATCAGTTAATATCATGTGATAACTGGATTATTATTAAATGGCTCAGTTGAAACAACCTCAGGTTGAGTTCAGCCAGTTCTCATGATAAAAGAAACAGGAGTATTATAATTGAAAATTCCTGGATAAAGTAAAGTTTTTGGCTTAGCTTTCTTTTCCCTCAGTAAACCATTTAAAATTACGTTAACCAAATTAAGATAAATAACCTGAGTTCACCTTTATTCTGCTACTTTACATTCTAGTAAAAAGCCTAAACAGACTACCTAGGGGGAGAACTAGACACAAACCAAAAAGGTTAATCATTAAACTGGATAATCAGCCCCTAAGGTATTTAGATTTGACCATATTAAGACTAACATATTTAAGGAGGAAAGAGGACTGGTCTTTTAGAAAGTTAAGGAAACTAGGAAGGAACATGCATGTGGTGGACTTGATGTTTTTATTGCTACTGAATTATTTTGCTTTTAAAATCAGTGTCCTATTCTTTACATGTAGATTATCTGTGAGGTATAATAATACATAATTTTCAGTCACTCTCATAGAAACACAGTGATTGTCTTAATATTGTATTAGTGTACTGAAGGACAGTACTATATATAAATAGAGCAATTGATACCTTGCTTAACTGAATCCTTTGGGAATGAATTCCTTCACAAGAAATTAAAAAAGAAATCACAAATGAAGTTAAAACAGCTTACATTTATGGTAAGTGACAAAAGTTAGTTGGATTTTTTTTTCTTAGAAGTTACCCCAGGTGAAGGTAAACAGGGTTAACAGGTTGTAGTGAATTTGTTCCCTCCAGATTTCCCCTTCAATACCTAGAGCTGCCTTAGTTTCTTCCTCACATTCATACCACTCACCTATAGTTGTTAGTAGACATTCAGTAGGTTACCTCAATACAGCATTTGCATTTTAAGCCAAGTAATTAATTGTGGAATGAATTGTTCCTTTTTAATTAAATTAATTTTTAAGAATGAAAGGAATATCAGTCAGGGACAGGTAGAAAAATCAGAAGGGTTAGGAGTCTCCTGGAAATAACATAGGAATAGAGAAGACAGCAAACATGGTGTAGGGGAAAGAGCATTGAATTGGGAGTCAAACTGGGTTTGAATCCTGTTCTGCTACATGCTAGCCATGTGTCCTTAGCCTCCTTTGCCTTCAGGCTTCTTATCTATAAGATGAGAGGGAGTTAAACGATGACATTTGAGGTTTCTTCCAACTCTAGATCTTTGATCCCCCAGAAAGCTCCTTATTTTTCTGGGTACTGTCAAAGGTTACTTGACCTTCAGCTTCTCCCCAGAACTTATTCTCTCCCCTGCCCTGGCACAGCCTATATGGCAGACTTCCCTAACAGAAGTTGTTATGGTTCCACCCTTATATCCTAGGACTCACGGTTTCTTGTCTGATGCATTAGAATGTAATGGTGACCTTTTCATATCATAACTTATTTTAAAGTCCCGGTCTGTATCTTTTTGCCTCCTCTTAGGTCTTTTTTTTTTTTAAACAAGTTTGCAATGATATCCATGTTAATATAATTATGACTATCATATTCTTTCACAAAATTTCTTAAGTGTTCTGTTCCAAATATTTGGGGAAAACAACTTAGATAAAACATGATCCCTGCTCTTAAGGAGTCATAGGGACCTCTGATTTTTGTCACTATGGGTATTCCTCTATGACTTAATATTTGAATTTTTTACCTATAGTAGTTGATTTTTCACTTAGCAAATCTGATGATGAGCCTCCCTGCACTTAACTAGATTGGTTCTTAGACAAGATATATAGTCAATCACTGAGTATCTGAGATACTCAGATCTTTTCAAGCATATGGTATAGGGTCTTCCAGAGCTTACATTTTTGTTAGTATGGCCTGACAGAATTCAGTTACTAGTATACCTTTCTGAGGCATCAGAGTGTAAGACCTTGCTGAGGAACCTTAACCTGATGTTGGTGTTGCATTCATGCAAATCTATCCTTATATATTACCATTCAGCTCATGAATTAGTAAATATTGTTTTGTATGGGGGCAGCTAGGTGGTGCAGTGGATAGAGTACTGGCCCTGAAGTCAGGAAGACCTGAGTTCAAATCCGGCCTGAGACCAAACACTTGACACTTACTAGCTGTGTGACCCTGGGCAAGTCACTTAACCCCAATTGCCTAAAAAAAAAAAGTGAAAAAATATTGTTTTGTATGTTTCAAAGATGGGGGAAGAATTTTGGCTTGAATGCTTTTTTAAATTTTTTATTTTAAGATGGTGATGGAATTTCCTGATAATGTGCTAAATCTTGATGGGCATCAGAATAACGGTGCACAACTAAAGCAGTTCATTCAGGTAAAGTCTTTAATATTATTGCATTAGGTGTTTGCTGAATGTAATTCTTTAACTTGATGAGTTAATTAACTTGATACAACTGTGTAAATTGTATTAACTTTGTAGTTTTAAATTTATGGTCTTTCTTTGACTGTTACAGTAAATGGTCATGGATGATACTGTCATGCAAAAGAAATTTGGTATTTAAGACTTGAAATTTCCAAATCTACTTTGTTGTCTTTATGTTTGTCTTTTAGAGGGGGAAGCAGACATAATACATGATGAGTTGTTTTTTTGGTATCAGCCTTATGATAAATAAGCTAAATAAATTTTTATAGTTAATTTTCTGATCATCATTTCATTTTGAAACTGACATAGATGTGAACAGAATAACATTGTGTAATGAATTGACCTTACAAAAGGCAGATTGTTAACTTGTATTACAGATCTTAATTCACAGAGTTCCAGAAAATTGTGAATGAAAGCTTGAATGCAAGTGTGAATTGAGAGTTTCTTAACAGTTGACTGTCTTACTCTTCTTACTCTCCATTCCCTTTCGTAATTTTTTGGGGGCCTTTTTAAACGGGGGGGCATTAGTAGTAATAACATAGCATAACAATTTATAAAAACAAACACTTCACTTAGGGGAACAAGGAATACCTTTTACATTGATTTATAGCAGTGTGGTCTCCAAACTTTTTTGATCTTCTGTTCCACTAGTAATTTTTTTTTCTGGTAGGTCTGCTGAGGGGTTGGGGGTAGTGAGTTTGCCAGTGGTACGTGAGTACAGTTGCTGCTGTGGGGAATTAAGTTGTATGCCCTGAGGTGCCATTGCCTGGCTCAGAAAGGGGAAGTTAAGAATTCACACTTTCAGAAAGGGATGAGAGTTTTGTGGGAGAGAAATGAGTGAAGGATAGATGTTGTTTTGAAGATGAGCCCCCTGATTGGCTATCTCAGGGAGGGTAGAATGTGATCCATCTTCCCACTCTGCAGTTGATTGCTCACATAGCCTTGGGGACATGCCATGGGACCATCCTCATTTTGGAGACCATTAATCTGTAGTATCATGTTTATTCCCTTTCCCACATCGGCATCATCTATTGGAGAAGTATTAAAGTATACTAAACTTGTAATTCATTTGAATTTTACCTTAAAAATATCAGCTAAATCTTATTTTTTAAAAAGGTGTTTATTCTTGAACAGTGAGGGATATGTTATTTGGAAGACACTTGTGCTGTTATAGTATAGGTGTTCTTTTTAACACTGTTACATATTACTAACTTTTTTTGCTTTCCCTTTTGCTCTTAGCGACATAGCATGCTTAAGCAGCAAGATCTCAATATTGCCATGATGGTGACATCGCGTGAAGTCTTGAGTGCACTTTCTCAGCTTGTCCCATGTGTTGGTTGTCGTCGCAGTGTGGAGCGCCTCTTTTCCCAGCTTGTAGAGTCGGGAAATCCTGCCCTTGAGCCTCTTACTGTAGGGCCCAAGGGAGTCCTTTCTGTTACTCGAAGCTGTATGACTGATGCAAAGAAGCTTTATACATTATTTTATGTGCATGGGTAAGTTCAACAAAGAAAAATGGCGTGCTTAAATTGTGATTTTTGACAACTACTTTCAGAAACTGAATGAAATCTTTCACATATTTGCCTAAGATGCTTGTCATCGTCTGCCAGTGGGGCATGTATGTGGATGCTGATTTTGAAGTGGTATAATAGTCAAAATAATGCTTAGCATAGTAAAGGTTTTTTACTAGTTTGGGAACATAGCTTTGGGTGACTGTATAGATGTTGATGCTTTTCAGTGTTAGAGAAGAAAAAAACTGTATATATTTAAGTAGTACATGTATTTTCTTCATTAAATCACATTTTGATGTAGTATAGGAGTTCTTAGCCTAGAGCCCATGAGCTTTTTTAAAAAAATATTTTGAGAACTGCATTTTGGTATCATGAGTGTTCTTTATAATCCTTTGTATTTTATTTTATATACTTGAAACATTTGCTTATAGGTATCACCAGACTACCAGAAGGGTCTGTGACACAAATAATGTTAAGAACTCTTGGGTGTACAATAGTAGATAGAGAGCCAGCCTGAGAGCCTAGAAGACCTGGGTTCAAGTCCCTCCTCTTGACACTTACTAACCTCTCTGGGCCTCAATTTTCTTATCTGTAAAATGGGGATAATTATATTACCTATCTATAGGATTGTTGTGAAGACTAAATGCGATAGTATGTGTAAAGAGCTATATATAATTGCAGTCTGTCATCATCTTCATCATCATGATGGCAAAGACTAAAATGATTAAACTCTTCAGAAGAGAAATTTACATTAATAAAAAGTCATCTGATAGTTTAGCCTTATATTGAGTGATTCGTGGATCCAGTGTGGAATGGTATATAGTCTTCAGTATCTGAGTAATCCTTGACATATTTACTTTTATGTAGGTCCAAACTAAATGACATGATAGATGCAATTCCAAAAAGTAAGAAGAACAAGAGATGTCAGTTGCACTCCTTAGATACACACAAACCAAAACCTTTGGGGTAAGTTTGGTTGAACACAAAGATTCTATTTATCATTGTTAGAATTTTAAGTATTAGGTAAACTCAGTTGTCATTGGCCAAGAAAAAAATGAATTTCTTCCCATAGTTGATTATACATTTTCCACAAATGTCAATCTTCTAAGACCTTTTGCCTTGATATTTTGAATACATTTGATCATAAAGTATATTTTTGCATTAGCACTTTTAAGTTTTTAGGAGGGAAATTTATCCCTAATATAATTGTTGTTATTAATTTTATTTTAACCACTAAGAATAGGAATATATTTTTTTGACCGATATGGATCCTGGAAACAGCTTTAAGTATAAATGGTTGTTTCCTTTAATTGTTCTAATGACCTAACTTTTACATGTAAGCCATTCTTTGGAGTTAATAATATCTAAAGCTGCTCCTTCTTGATGATTAAATCACTAGGGACATAGGCCTAATGGATGGTTCTTCTACCTGTTTCCTAGTATCCTTCCATGATCGGACAAAATATCCTAGGTAGTTACTGGGAAGTGGTCCCTGTTCATCTAGGATGGAATATAAATTAAAGTTAGGCTTTTTCTTTCATCTTTTAAAAACCAAGTTATGTCAAGAAAAGAAGTATGACTAGTATCACTGTATTAAAGGTTTAAAAGAAATTTTAAACTTTAAAATAAAATGAATTAGAGTTAATAAATCAGTTTTAATTCTTTCTTGATTTGATCTTCAGTATATTCTCTTATATTGTAAGAAAGGGTTAAAAAAGTGCACCACTCACTTTATATGCCTGTTGTTTTTGTTACTTTTTCTTTCTTACCATCTGAGGTAGACTATATGTGCTGCCTGGTGCAGTTTTCTACTTAGACAAGGAACTAGCTTCTCCATGAGTGGCCTGTTAACCAAAATTGTATTGCAGTCTGGTGTATAGTTTGAGTTTAGAAGTCAGGCCTTCAAGTTATTCTAGTGGTGTTTTTAGTTCATGCTTTTTAGGTGCCACCCAAACCTATTTGATTACTAAATAGAGGGACCTAAGTGTGTTTTAGATCTACCTAAATCTATTCTTACATAGCTTAAGGCAGACCATAAATAAAATCTACGTATGAAGTGTTTGAAGATAAAGACCATATAGCCTGCTACAATCTAGTGAAATTTAATCTGATTCATGACTATTTATAAGTTTCTTTCTAGGTAATACATAACATTTGGACTAATTTTAAAAGTGTGATTTAAAAAATTATTATGAGACTCTTTAGTTAATATTTTGATGTATGATCATTTAAGTAGAAAAATATAATGCATAAAAATGTTGTTGGCCCTTTTGGCTTGATGATAATTCTTATTAACCACTGCTTATCTTAGTGTTAACCTTTTCATACTTAATCACAAATCTTTTGTAGAAAGATAAAATCTTAATTCTTCTTTAGATTATCTCAGTATCACTGAATACTTGAAATGCATTAGTTATTTTAAAGCACTGAAGTAAGGTCAAATTCCATTACAAAAAAAAACTCTATATAATTAAAGACTTATAAGAACCCTTAGCTAGTGACCTACTTATTCTGAGCAGTTGTTGTTAACAATAATATTACAGTACTCCTAACAAATTTGAAGAGTATCTTAGAGTTCATTGTAATAGGGTTTGACCTATATCTCTTAGGTTGTAGTTCAAAACAGATTTAGCTTATTTTATACTTTATAGCTGAAGATTTGTGAGGCTTTGATTTTATATTTGTCTTTTAATATACTACTGTACTACAGTGAAGGGAGCAGTAACAGTGTCAGTTCAGAGAAGCTAAGTACAGATAAGAAAAGTAGTGAAGACCACAGGAAGGACAGCAAGTGTAGGATCATTTTCCATTATGGACCTTTTCAGGGAACAGCCAGGTAAAACAAAGCAATCCTTCACCCTGTTTTTGAATGTGCTGTTGTCCATATGTAGTCATCATTTATATTAATATTCATTTTTCTTTCTGCAGAGGTTGTTGGATGGATGTGTGGGAACTAATGTCCCAGGAATGCAGGGATGAAGTAGTTTTAATTGATTCTAGTTGTCTTTTAGAAACATTAGAAACCTATCTGCGAAAACACAGGTAAGTCTTAAGATAAAATGTAGTAATGTTATCAAATGTCTAATATGCCTATCCCTCATTTGTTCTCATGAAACATTTTCCTGCATGATTTTCAAAATGACTAGCTATAAGTTAACAGCTACAGCCCTTCATATATAATAGCATGGCACAGTGGCTAAAGAGCCAGCCTCATAGCCAGGAAGACCTGGGGTGTAAGTTCTGCTTCTGAAACATACTGGCTGTGTAGCCCTGGGCAAGTCGTTTAATCTCTCAGTGCTCCAGGCACTGAGTGCCCACTGAGACCTTAAGTTACGAAGCCAGCTGCAATCATTCATAAGTAGGCAGCACTCTCCAGGTGTTGCAGATAGCAGAAGGCCAGATATAGTGGTATACCCCTGCTCCCAAAATATAATCCGGGGCCCTGTTTCCCCCATCCCTTCCCTAGCCACACTGGGGGAGCCTTATCACTCAGTGATGTTTATTAAGCTGCATACTATGTTCCAGGCATTGTGCTAGGCACTGGGGATACAAAAATAAAAATGAAACACTCCTTGCCCTCAAGGAGCTTACCTTCTATCAGAAGAGGAGACCACATGTACATAAGTATATACAAAACAAATACAAGGTCATTTTTGAGGTGAGTTACTAGAAGCTGGGAGATCAGATCAGGAAGAGTTTTATGTAGAATGTAGCATCTGAACTAAGCCTTGAAGAAAGCGAGGAATTCTAGGAAGTTGGAGATGTGGAGAGAGGAGTGAATTCCAGGCGTATCAATCTGTGTAAAGACATGGAGAAGGGAGAAACAAAAAATTCAGTTTGGCTTGGCCAAAATGTATGAAGGGAAGCAATGTGTGTTGTTGGAAAGGTATGTTAGATCCAGGTTGTGAAAGGCTCTCTGTGCTAAACACAGTGTTTGATCCTAGAGGTAATAGGGAACCACTGGAGTTTATTAGATCAGTTAAGTGGTATGTCAGATCTCTGCTTTAGGAATATCAATTTGGCATTAGCGTGGAGGATGGAACAAAGGGGAGAGACTTTTGAGGCAAGGAGGTCAATAAGGCTTCCATAGTTTAGGTAAGAGATTAGGGGGAAGACTGTGTGAATCGAGATAAGGGAACAGAAGTGAGAGATAATGAGGTAGAAATGACAAGACATAGGAACTGGTTAGATATGTGGAAAGAAAGAGAATGAGGAATTAAGGATTATTCCAAGGGAAGATGGTGGTACCTTTGATAGAAATAGGAAGTTTAGATGAGTGGATTTTGAGAAAAAGATGAATTCTTTTTTGGACGTGTTAGTTTGAAATGTCTAATGGGCATTTGGTGATATAGGACTGTAGCACAGAAGGGAGCTAGGGCTAGAAACATAGCCATCTTGAATAGAGATAACAAATATATCCATGGAAGCTGACAAGGTCATTGGAAATGTGTGTAGAGAGAAAAGATGATCCAGTAAAGGACACTAAGAAGTAGTCAGAAAGGAGAAGAATCAAAAGAGTAAGTAGTGTCATGAATACTCAGAGAAGATAGTGTGCGTCTAGGAGGGAAAGGGTAGTCAATAATGTCAAGTGCTGTTTAGAAGCCAAGAAGGATAAGGATTTTGAAAAAGCTAGGGTTTGTCTATTCTTAGAGAAAGCAATTTTAGTTGAGTGATGAACTCATAGCCAGATTGCAAAGAGTGGAGAAGAGAAGGCGGCAAAGTAGTTTGGTTGTGAAAGGGAAGAGAGATAAAGGCCAGTCACTTGAAGGAGATGGTAGGGTCCAGTGAGTTGTTGGTCCCCCACTCCCCCACACCACTACTTCCCCCTCCACTCCAAGTTTAGGACAGACCTGGGCATGTTTGTAGGCAGTAGGAAAGAGCCAGGAGAAAGGTTGAGATTAAACATTTGATCTGGAAAGGGGATGGTTGTGGGGCAATCTATTGGAGGAGATGGGGAGGTGATGGGATTAAGTTTGTAGAAGGGATGGCCTTGGGAATAGCAGTGTCTCCTGGCCACCACACCTGCTTTCAGCCCAACCTCTACAACCACCATTGAGGGGAGAAATCATTGTGGAGAAGGGGCCCACCTTCCTCATCACCACCAACTACTGACTGACTGCCACCAACAGCACTGGGAGTAGCAGCACCCTCAGACCACTGGTCCTACACCCCAGCCCTCATCTAGGGAGGCAGCTCCTATGGAAAAGGGGCCAGTCATCCACCAGCTTCCAATCAATTGCTACACACAGGGCAGGCAAGCCAGCCTAGCTGAAGCAGCAAGGCACCCTAAGGGAGAAACAGGAGGCAGCATGTGCCAGGCAAGTCACACTGCCACCTTGACACCATCTCCCCTCAGACCCTGATGGGGACAGCCCAGGACCCTGAACCCACGAGTCTTTGGAATAGCAGTATTTCCAAACCAGTGTCCACAACCGCCAGCCTGGGAAGCAACCCTTGTGGAGATGCAGCTAGGCAAGTGCTCCTGCAGCCACATCTTTGGAAGACCCCAAAAAGAAAGTTCTTTTCACCAGAGTCCTTGGCACTGTCAAATGGTATATCGACAGAAACTGATAAGATACTATGACTGGAAATGGCATTAAAGAAGAGACATTAACATCTGCTTTGCTGATGCACCCGAAGAAACATGAAACCTTTCCATCTGATGTACAGTTGAAACCTTCCATATGTGTTGTCTCCCCTATTAGAATGTGAGCTCCATGAGAGCAAGGACTGTCTTACTTGTCTATTTGTATCCCCAGCAGTTAGCATAATGGTTTGTACATAGTAAGCACTTAATAAATAGATTATTTATTCATTAATTTCTTGTAGAAAAGAAAACAAATGCCTTGACAGGAGGGACTTCTTTGTCTTTAAATACTACTTAAAAATGAAGTTTTAAAGAGACTTGAAACCTCTCCTCTACCTCTTACCTTCATAACTCACCTAAAACATTTATTAAGTGCTTACTATGGGCAAGACCGTGTAGGTGCAAACTATTAATAAGCTATTGTATAGTATTTCTCACATTTATGCCTCTGGGATAGATTTTTTTAGACTTTGTCATTGACAGTAAAACATGATTTAGAATTATTTGAATTCAGGAATTTTTCATTCATCTTATTCTTTCTTTTAAGTACATTTGTATTGAGTATGTGGTCACATCTACTCTGAATGATTCTTAGAAACAATTTGTAAACTACTTCTAGGAAAACTTAGAGCAGATAATTAGGAGTAATTGATATGCAAAGAGCTACCTTTTTCTCCTGTGTTTCCAAAAGAAAAAAACTGATTTTAGAACTAACCCTCTGAATTTTCAGGTTAAGTTTTTACTATAACTGCCTCAGTTATAGTACTAGGTTGTAGAATATAATATCTTTGTGACTTAGTCTATTCAGCAAATAGATTTCTCTTCAGTGAGTTTGTGTTTTGAGGAGGAGTAGTATAGACAAGAGTAGTAGTTCCTATCTTCAGTCATTTGCTCTACTTTTACATATATCTTCCAGTTTCTCTTAGACTAAAGTAATTAATGTATCTATGAATTTTACTGAGATAATCCTTGTCCTGCTTGATCAAGTACTGATTTTCTTTGAGCTCAAGATCTGAAGTATTGTGTATCTGTAGTTAATATCTGCACTGTTTATGTCATGTTTTATATTTACATGAGGGATGCATATCCTCAATTTTAATAGAGAATACAGGATAACTCAAGTCAAGAATTCTTTCTTTTTAAGCAGTATTTTTGGGCAGGTATTGAAATTGAGGACAATTACATTGACTGACTGTAAGAACTTTGTCAGTTCCTTATTCTGATGATTTTCCTGCCTTACTTGCCAATAAGAGAAATTTTCTTCTAAAACCTGCCTTCTGTTTTTTCAGTGTAGTAATCGCTAAAGAGCTGTATCATAAAAGAAATCATTGCCTGTTTTCTAAAACTCCTTGAATTTTAACATCTGTTTCAAATGTAAACTAAATTATTTGTCATAACTAACTTTCTGAATTATATACTGGGGGAGGGAAGGGGAGAATAGCTCAGGTTAATCAGGACTTTATTTTAGCATTTAATTTGTCTTCTGCCCGGCTTTTACCAGTTTCTGAGGTGCAGCAAAGATAGGGCGGAGTACAAGCAAGTTATTGTGGATAGGTTGCAAATTGCATAATTCACTCCTGGAAGAGACTTTTCCCAAGATATGCCCAGTAGTGAGTGGTTGAGTAACTGTTGCATGTCAAATTCTTGATTTGAAACATCTCAAGTCCTTATTTTTTCCTGCGTTTCTAAATCTTACTGAGAGATGGTTTGAATTTTAAGATGTCATTTGTCAGCCTCTTTGTAGAAAATCATAATATATATTTAGTGAATATCCAGATAGTTCACCTCTTTTTTTTTAAGCATCATCTACTTTTATGTGAGCTTTCCTGAGCACAAAGCAGTAAATGTTTCATTGTATACTACAGAGTGTCCCAAAAGTCTTAGTGCAATCTTAAGCTTTAATAGCTTAAAATAGACTTTTGGGACACTCTGTATTAGTGGACTAAGTTCTATGACATTGCATCATTAGAAGACGTGTTAAACTGTAAAACTGTCTTCTTTAAGTGACTTACCAGACTCTGAGAATCACTATTACTCATATGCAAAGTGCCATTTGCTTCTATGCTTACAGTACTGCTATTAAACACATACTTTAATCCTTCCTCTGTATAGCAAAATTTTAAGAAACAAAAATTGTACTTCTAATAGTGTGGTATTTAGCTGTCTACATAGCCTTCTGAAAAAAATAAAAGAATGCTTCACTGTCATTGCTTTTTTTTTTTTTTACTGATTTTTTTTTTAAGGCTGATGAACTTAGGAGTGACAGTGCAAGTGTCAGTCTCTTTACCAGGTCTACTAAAATGCCTGAATTTGAAAAAGTATACTTTGAATCAATGAATGAAAAAGTATTTATTAAGCACATAGTATGTTCTAAGAACTGTGTTCTTGTTAAATGTTGGGGATACAAATAAAAAAGCAAAGACAGTCCCTGCCCTCAAAGAGCTTATATTCTAAATGGGGAAATAACACATAGGAAAGGTATGGTCAGGGAAGGGCACTTTTGTTCCTGATAGTTAAAGGGATGGTGAATGGGACATAGGGGAGTAGAATAATACCCCCCTCCAGCCCCAGAAGTGGAGTTGAGGGCTGGGGTAGAAAAAAGGCGATGCTTACCCCTAGTTGGTGAGGAAGTTGTGAAAGAGGGGGCCTGAGTAGAGGAAGTAGTGAACATAACAGCTATTTCTTTCAATTACATTTACATATACATATACATGTGTAACACACACACACACACACACACACACACACACACACACACACACACACACACACACACACACACACACACACTAGACTGACAGTTCTCAGCCAGATGCTAATACTCCACATTATGACAAGATTTTCAGCTTAAAAAATATTAAGACATAAGGAATCTAATCTTTTTTCTCTTATTTAATAATAATACTACTAGCATTTCTATAGCGCTTTAAGGTTTGCAAAGCGCTTTACATATGTTTAATCCTCACAGCCACCCTGTGAGGTAGGTGCTATTATCCCCATTTTACAGATAAGGAAACTGAGGCTGAGAGAGGTTAAGTGACTTGCCCGGGGTCATACAGCTAGTAAGTGAGGCAGGATTCTAACTTAGGTCTTCCTGACTCCAAGTCAACATTTGTAATAAATTGTTTGTGTAAAATAGAATTTTAAAACCTTATAGAAAATTTAAACTGTTTGATACATTTAAGTGTATATTTCAATGGAAACCAAAATTCATCTGTTCATTCAGCATATTCCTGGAGGCTTGCTTAATGATGCAGATTGAGAAAAATGTCTTCATCATTATGCTAATTTACTAAATGTGGCAGAGTGAAGTAGTAGGACTCTGCAGAATTCAGGAGACCTGAGTTCTAGTTCCCTACTCTATCACTAGCTCTGTTTCTTTGGGCAAGTTGCCTTTTCTTGGTCTCAGTTTTCTCATTTGTAAAATAAGGGAATTGGACTAAATGATCTCTTAAGATCCCTTCCAGTACTAACATTCTTTTGAGTCTACATCATAGCCAATTCTTATTTTGACTGCTTGCCTTTTTAAATTTTTACTAGGTTTTGTACTGACTGCAAAAATAAAGTACTTCGAGCATACAATATTCTTATTGGTGAGCTTGATTGCAGCAAAGAGAAGGGTTATTGTGCTGCACTATATGAAGGCTTGCGGTGCTGTCCACATGAACGACACATACATGTATGCTGTGAAACAGATTTCATTGCACATCTGTTGGGTCGAGCTGAGCCAGAGTTCGCAGGAGGGTATGAGTATGTAATTTGCTAGAATGGGCTATCTAGCGCTTTGCTTCTTTATTTTATTACCGAAAGTTTGTTTCTAAGCCTTGTAAATAAATCTCTTCTGCACCTTTGCCTCATTACATATGCTTAGATATAAAGCCTATGTTTTGAAGTCAGCCTTCATAATACATGTTCTCTTGGTTCTGTCTGTTGATACAGAAATATACATTTCTTTATTCTGACTAAAAATAGGAAGAAAATGGTTTGTGACTATTGGTTCAGTTCCATGCTCCAAGTTGGATCAAAAGGAGATGGACATTTTTTGTTATATGAATGTAATTTTTTCAGTTGAAATGATCTAAAAGTGACTTTTCCATTCATGTGGAATTGTAAAGCTTTAGTCTGGGTAATTGCTGTGAATGGGCCTCCAATAGTTTATGGAAAAACCACTTTTGCTAATGTTGCTCAAGATTATGGGCTTGGCAGCAGGGTGTCAGCACTTTGGATAGAATTGCTCTGTTTTAAAGGTAAGCAATTCATGAACTGTGCATGCTCCTTTAAATTTAAGAAAGGAAAACAAAACCTCCAAACTAGGTATCATGAAACAAAATTTAGAAAAAAATAAAGACGGTCACTTGTTTTAATTGAGCACATTCTTAATCCTTTCATCATTTTGTGTGTGGGTGAAATAGTTTTTCATTTTAGGACCACTTCTCTTCTATAAGAGATATAGCTGAATAATTTAGTTCTTATCCCTATCTTCCTGCTTCCTTAATGTTCCACTTCTTTGAAAAGTTTCAGGTTTTTTGTCATTAGCAAAAACAAAAACAAAAAAACAGTGAATGAGCTGTATTTGACTGGGTAATTCCAAAGTCCTATTTGCTACATAGACTTGTGTTCAAGTGCCAGTTCCTGAATTACCATCCTTTTTAGCTGTAGTAAGATTTAAGTCTCACATGTGTGTTTCTGTGTCCTTGATATCACAGACATGCATGTATGTTTACATATGCATAGATATACACATCTGTGTATATTTATAGATACCTAGCTTTCTTACTACATATTAGTGTTCAGGTTGTGTTAAAATGTAAACTTGATGACGCAGAAAGCATTAATGTACTAGATTTATTGGAAAGTCACTGCCTGATTTTAATGCTTTCTAGGCGGAGGGAAAGGCATGCTAAGACAATAGACATAGCCCAAGAAGAAGTTTTGACCTGCCTGGGCATTCATCTTTATGAACGACTGCATCGAATCTGGCAAAAACTACGGGCTGAAGAGCAGACGTGGCAGATGCTTTTCTATCTTGGTGTTGATGCTTTACGCAAGAGTTTCGAGGTACGGAGGGGAGCTGTTTCAGTACCTGAGAGTGCTTGATCAGAATAGTGGACTGGATCTGAAACTGGGAAACCAGTTCATTTTCCTCTCAGCATTTGTGGCTGACCGGCATTATAGGGGTGTTTGGTCTTTTTGGGGTGGGGAGACCTAGTTTTTCCTCTCTTTTGTGATCTACCTGCTATTTTTTTACTTCCAGTCTACAAAATGGAGACTAGTGATTACTTAACAGGATTTTGTCAGAGAACTAATAAAAGACTGCAAAGCCTTTGGCAATATGCAGCTGTCTAAAAGCATATATAATAAAACCTTAAGTATATTTTGCTCAGTTTAAATTTAAGATGTTTCCCTTTTTCCACTGTTTTATCATTTAGCTTTCTCTGTCATAGTTCCTTTTGGTGTTTTTTTTTTTCCTATTACACTCAAAGTCTCTCCCTTCTACTTCCCCCGCTCCCTTTTAAATAATTTATAACATCTTTTTAGCCTTATGTTAATATTATTTAATTTAACCTTTCAGAACACAGCCACTAGTTTGGAAACTTGTAGACCCTAGTCTGATTTCTTGTTTCAATATTATTAGATGGAAAGCTATTCCAAAGCTGTTAAAAAGTCAAAAATTTTCAATTATACTTTGAGAGAAATAAATTTAGTTATTTAAATACCCCATTGTGATAGGCCTTAGGGGTTGATCTTTTGTTGTTGTTGATCGTTTGTTTTAGTTGTGTCCAACTCTTTATGACCCCATTTGGGGTTTTCTTGGCAAAGATACTAGAGTGTCTTTGCTGTATCCTTCTCCAGCTCATTTTGTGTTTCGTTTTGTAAAAATTTCTTGGTCTTTTAACTTGTTCCCTGTTTCCCTTTTATATCTTCAGAAGTTAGAGCTTTTAACAGAATTTGGCTATCTTTAAAACCCAGAATCTGTGTTTTAAGAAGTAAATTGAGATAGTTATATTTACTTTGTTGTCTTAAAACATTGCAATGTTAAAATATTGTTGATTGAAGTAATATTGTAGGGAGGGGGAGTATATTGTCAGATTATGATTTTTTTTCCACTATATTTGAAGATTGGCCTTATGGGGAATCTTTTGGAAAATTTATAAAGTCTTTAGTGGAAGCTAATTTTCAAAATGCATTATTAGTTTTTATCTGATAACATCTTAAACTGCCAAATTAGAGAAAGCAATTATACAATGGCATAATCTTTTATTTTTCTAAATAGATGGCTGTGGAAAAAGTTCAGGGTATTAGCCGATTAGAACAACTCTGTGAAGAGTTCTCAGAAGAAGAAAGAGTACGAGAACTCAAGCAGGAAAAGAAGCGCCAAAAAAGGAAGAATAGGCGGAAAAATAAGTGTGTGTGTGACATTCCTGCCCCCTCGCAAACAGCTGATGAAAAGGAAATAAGCCAAGAAAAGGTAATTTTGAATCAACTCATTAGTAGTCTATGCCAAAAATTCCTTAGAGAAGTAACTTCCTGTAAGAGTAGTCTGTTTTTTGAGTATTCCTGTTAAGTGTATTATTTTTCTCTTTTCTTTTGGATTTGAATTTTGCATCATTTTGCTACCAAATACCAAAATAGGTAGTAGTAGTAGTAGAGCTTAGTTAGAACAAGAAATATAACATCTTTTTGTTTTGTAAACTTGAATTTTCTAACTTTAAAGATAAAATCAAGTAGATTTGTCAGTCCATCCTGTCATAATGGGATAAAGTGAAAACTCATATGTTTGACCTGCTTGAAATGATTAGGTCTTGAATTTGTCAAGTTCTAGAATATACCTTTTTGTAAATATTTACTCACAATTGTATATTTTGGGGCTTATATTAGTTGAATGTTGTAGAGTATGAAGCCATTTCTTCTCCCTCCTTGCCCCATCCCTTTGTATTACAAATGCTAAGAAAACTATTTAAGTGACTTATATAATCATTTCTGCCTTGATTGTTTAAGGAGACAGGCTTTGTAGAAAACAGCTGCAAAGCTTGTGGCAGCACAGAAGAAGGTAACAGCTGCGTAGAAGTAATTGTTACCAATGAAAACACCTCCTGTACCTGTCCAAGTAGTGGCAATCTATTGGGGTCTCCTAAAATAAAAAAAGGTGAGCTTTTAAACATGTATTGTTTAAGTTTGTTCTCATTTATCTTTAGGTGGAAGAAAATAAAGTCATAGATCTTTTTTCTTAGTTTTGAGAAAATTGTTAACTACAAGTACAAATTATATTGTAACCTCTGATTTATTCTCAGGTTTATCTCCACATTGTAATGGTAGTGATTGTGGATACTCATCTAGCATGGAAGGGAGTGAGACAGGTTCTCGGGAGGGCTCAGATGTAGCCTGCACTGAAGGCATATGTAACCATGATGAACATGGTAGGTTCAGAATGAATTTCTTGTTTATTTCTATTACAGTAGCTGCTTTTCTTTACGAGCACAATTGAGACAGTACTCCCTCTTTCAGGTGATGATTCCTGTGTTCATCACTGTGATGACAAAGAGGAAGATGGCGATAGCTGTGTGGAGTGTTGGGCTAATTCTGAAGAGAATAACACAAAAGGAAAAAACAAAAAGAAGAAAAAGAAAAGCAAAATGTTGAAGTGTGATGAACATGTATGTATTATAACTTGTCTATAGCAAAAATCTCATTTTGCAGTTTTATCTTGTACAATTCACAGCATCTAAAGTGTTAAGTTGATGAGTAACTTGGAATCGTAAAGCAAAAACAACAACAACAACAACAACCTTGAGGATCAGTGTATTGTGATTTTCTAAGGTATTTAGGGAGCTGCTGTGACTTGTATTTTGTGCTCTTTTCTCACGTCAGCCCTCTTTGTCTGTTTTAGTGCTCACCTAAGTATTAGATCCCATTTCAAGGTGCTGAACTCATACATTTTTTCTATAATCTCTCTCTAAGTACCCTTTCTTTTTTTTTGTTTTTGTTTTTTTAGGCAGTTGGGGTTAAGTGACTTGCCCAGGGTCACACAGCTAGTAAGTGTCATGTGTTTGGTCTGAGATCGGATTTGAACTCAGGTCCTCCTGACTTCAGGGCGGGTGCTCTATCCACTGCGCCACCTAGCTGCCCCTAATTAAGTACCCTTTCCACAGATTTGTCAAGGAGTCTCCTGTTTTGAATTGTAATTAATTTGCTTGATAATTATTTACTGTGATTTCAGATCCAAAAGCTTGGAAGCTGTATTACAGATCCCAGTAATCGAGAGACCTTAGGAAGTACCGTGCACACAGTGTTTCACCGTGACAAGACCAAAGATTCACATGCTGAAAATTGCTGCAGCTCAGAAAAAGGTGGGCAGCCACTGCCTTGGTTTGAACATAGGAAAAACGTACCACAATTTGCAGAACCTGCAGAAGTGTCACTCGGTCCTGACTCTGGAAAAGGTGCCAAGAGCTTAGTTGAACTCCTTGTAAGTATCCTGACATGTGGTGGTGTAAAGGCTGCAAACTTGGGGAGAATAATGGAGTAAAGAGAATCTGTGCTCTAGGGTTTTTTTTAAGTGACTGCAGTTCAGCTTTACTTTAGAGAGGGCACAGGCTATTGTAGAGCACCCCTGCTTTGCTTCTCAAAGCTCAGAGTCTAAGTGAGGAGCTGGATTGTCCTCCCATCCCTACCTTCCTGGGGTAGGGTGGAAGAGTTGTTGGAATTTAAGAGTTTACTCTTGTAGTTACTGTATATTCCTACTTCGAGTCCTGGCAGAAAGTTAGCTTCTGTTCATAGCAAAGGCTGTTCAGAATCATATTTGAAACTTGATTACTGCTGACTGTTTCTCCGTTTGTCAGTTTATGGCAACGATTCTTCCAGACAAGTAAGGAATGTGCTACCCAGCCTAAGTAGAATGTGACGGTCCTCTGTTGTCTCTATTTTGTGCCATGAAGGAACATGGCAGAGCCAGGACTACAGGCAAATTGTACCTGACCTCAAATGACCCAGCTTGTGAGATGAAGATTGTGATATTGTTAGCAATGATTAGGGCCCTTTGCGTGGTGCTGAGGAGTCAGATCTTGTAATGGAATTCTTAGTGGGTTTACAATGTAATAACTGTCCTAGGTGTAAATAGAGAAGGCTGAATTTTGTTTTTCAAGAAAGTGGCACGCAAATATTTATTCTGTTAGGGATTTATTGTTGTTTGGTCATTTCCCATTCTTCATGACCGTATTTTGGGGTTTTCTTGGCAGATACTGGAGTGGTTTTCCATTTCCTTCTCTAGTTCATTTTACAGGTGAAGAAACTGAGGCCAACAGGGTTAAGTGACTTGTCCAGGGTCATATAACTAGTAAGAGACCAAATTTTAACTCAGGAAGGTGGGACTTCCTGACTCTAGGCCCAGTGCTCTATTCACTGAGCCACCTAGCTTCCCCTATTAGAGATTCATTGGTTATTCGATAGTTGGCAATGCTTGGAATTATCTTCAGTTATTTGATGTTTTCAGGTAAAGAGATAAGGAATTTGAGCCTCAGTGTCAAGTAAGCCTAGAATTTCAGACCATTTGTTAGACTTATTCTTATTATTCTTGAACCAGACTTAGTATAGGGAGCTCTGAGAGAGAAAAAAATTCCCTCTACCAATGCAGATCAGCCCCTTCTCTGCCACTTAATGTAGGGAATTGCCTGGGGCACTAGGAGAGATTGTGACTTGGCCCTGGATATATAACTTGTTGTATATGTGAGAGTGGAACCCAGGGTTTTCTGGCTTTCAGACCTGCTCTCTAATCCCTACTCCAGGTTTCCGTTGTATTAGTGTTATTATTAATCATCATCTTCTAAAGCAGTGATACTGTATTGCTCATTTTGATAGCCATTAAATATTTTTTATATTTAAGAGTTTGTATTTGAAACTCTTGGATATTAACTGAACTGAAACTTAAAAGCCTGGATTTCTTTTTTCCCCTCTGTCAGCATATCTTATATTACCTCTCCATTCTGTGTTTTACAAGTCCTAATTAACAGTTACTTTCCTTTGCAGGATGAGTCTGAATGCACTTCAGATGAGGAAATCTTTATCTCACAAGATGAAATACAGTCATTTATGGCAAACAACCAGTCTTTCTACAGCAATAGAGAACAGTACCGACAACATCTGAAGGAGAAATTTAATAAATACTGCCGCTTAAATGATCACAAGAGGCCCATCTGTAGTGGCTGGTTGACAACGGCCGGAGCAAACTAAAATAAATAAAATAGCTCTGTCTTTCATTGAAACACTCAAGATGACTACTGCGCCTTCTCTTTCAAAAACTCCTAATTTAGTGACTTTTGGCAGAATTTTATCTTAAATCAATGTGATTCTTTTCTCTTTTTTGTTTTCGGGGACGTTGGTGGAGGTAACTTCATTAATTTGTTCTTTCTTCAGGCTTGTATGTTTAGTTGAGTAGCTGTGCAAGCCTGCCTTATAATTTAAGCCATCTCTTTTCATTAAATGTTTCTCTTACTGTGAGACTTACAAAAGCAACTTAGTGGCAAAAAGTAATGTTGTACTTATAATTCTGTACAGAAATGATGAGCTGAATATAAGGTTTTACAAAGTAGACATCCACTTGCAAAAAAATGTTTGGATGTAATATGTTAAAGCGCAATGTGCAAAATTTAAAAATAAAGAATATTTATTAATACGCATAGTACAATTTGGTGTACATGTTTCTACTTAATGTGTAATAATAGTGTTTAGTTTGCCAGTCACCTGACTTGGTAACTCAACCTGGTTTTGATGGGGTAGATGGTGCGGAAAATCCCCATCAATGAACATTTATAGAAGTGACCCCTAGATTTCAACAAAAGAATAAATCCTTCCCTTGATCACTTATTCTGCTTCACCTAGTTTATTTTATTTTATTTTGTTTTGTTTATTTTGGCTAGGCAATGTGGTTAAGTGACTTGCCCAGGGTCACACAGCTACTAAGTGTTACGTGTCTGAGGCCGGATTTGAACTCGAGTTCTCCTGACTCCAGGGCTGGTGCTCTAGTTGATTTTATAAGACAGTTTTGGTACCTTTTTTTTTAAAGGTCCACTGGAATCCCTTTAAATATACTAGTTACCCTAATTTTCCTAGATACTTCACTTGCTCTTACTAATAGTACCTTAGTACTTCTTAAATTCAAAGGTTCACATTGACCCATAAGAATGAAAACAAAGCTTGGCAGACTTTCAACTAAGGATTGCCTAATAGGGCAATTACTTGCTGTTTAAAGCTTAGAATCAGGAGTTGTACTAAGTAGTTACACTGAAATCTGCATAAATGCATGTTCAGCCTTATCTGGTTTCTCACAATAAAGTCACTATGGCATTACAGCTTATTGCTGTCACAGGCTGTCTGTAAGTACTGAAGAAAGAGAAAGATTCCCTAAGGAGAGGCATTTGGCTGCCAGCTTTGCACTTCTCCATTTAAAAATCTGAGTCAGTAGCTGAGTAAACACAGGCACTTGGGTGTTTTTTGATCTGATGTTGTACATACAGCACACTGGACAATACCAGCAGATGATTATCAGTATCACGATACCCTTGGCATTGTAGGATGGGGTGAATCTGATATTCACACTTGAAAGGGAGATGACAGGCTGTGTGTAATTGTCTTTTTTTTTTGTGGTTCCTAAAATGCTTTTAGTTAAATCCCATAATCTAGGGCAGAAGTTAAATGAAGTCCATGATTCTCCTTTGGCTCTTTTTTCACCCTGCCTCTAAGCTTTAATAATGACCATTGCCCTGTGTACCTTCATTGTCCTGGAGAGGAAGCTTGGCTGAAGTCCAGCATCTAAAATTGAGCTGAAAGAGTTGATGTAGATGGGTAGATGAACCTTCTCATTTTATAGACTGGGAAATGTGAGGCCCTGGAGAGTTTTAGTGACATGCTGGAGGTCATGTGGTTAGTTACAGAGCCAGGCCAATTCCTAGTTTTGTGTCTTTTCCACTATTATACCTACGTTTACTCCCTGCATACGCTATTCCTTGGGGGAGAAGGATCCATTTGCTGTAGTTTTTCACAGATTTGAGTCTTATGCCTGCCTCAGTCACTAGGCAGACTGGCAATTCACTTAACTTTCCCAGACTGTTACCTCATTTTTAAAATGGGGGTGGTTGTGACCTGTGTAATTCATGAAATTGTGAAGATGAGAAAATGTTTGAAAATGTTCTGTAAACTGCAAAGTGATGAGAAGAGTATGTGGTATTGTTACCTAAACATTTTATAATATGTGGATACCTTGTATATACACACACTGCCCTGAGCACCCAAGTCCATGTTCTCCACAATATATCCTGTCTATGGATGTCCCACTGACACCCCAAATTCAACTTGTCTAAAATTGAATTTTCCTTTTCCCACAAACCACTTAACTTTGGTATTTTTCTGTGGTACCACCATTTTACTCAGCCTCCCATGTTTGCAACCTTTTGATCTTTGACTCCTATTCCTTATCATTCCCAGTCAGTTACAAAGTCCTGATAGCTTCCCCAAGTTATCACCACCTCCTTGCATTACTGCATATCCTAACAGATTTTCCTGCCTCCTTTCCAGTCCCTCCTTTGGGATACCACAGTACTCCAAATGTAGAACCATCTCCTCTCTTGTTCTGCCCAAGATCCCATTCTGTGGTTCGTTCTTTTGAGACAGCTAGTATGGTATACATATTATATAAGAGAGTGCTACAGTCAGGAAGACTTGGGTTTGATTCCACAAGTCACTTGGATATGTAGATTAGGGAATCATCTGCACATAGATAATAATGTATATGAACCTATGTGAATGCATGAAATCACTAAAATAGAGGGTGCAGAGAGAGGATAGCACAGCGCAGGGGCTTGGGGTACACCTAGAGTAAGGTGATGAGATGTGGATTACAATTAAGCAAAGGAGACTGGGGAATGTTCCAATAGGGAGCCAGAGAACCAAGCGAGATCAGTGTCATGAAAAACCAGGGAGGAGAAAGTAGCCTGAAATGTAGCACCCAGAACTAAACACAATATTCCAAATGTGGTCTGACCACTTTTCTCATGGCCCTGTAATAATAAAGATGATATTTACATAGTGCTTACTGTATGCCAGGCACTGTGCTAAGCCTTTTATAATTATTTCATTTGATGCTTACAACAACCTTGTGAGGGTAAGTGATATTATCCCCATTTCACAGATGAGGAAACAGGCAAACAGGTTAAATGACTTGGCCCAGAGTCACACAGTAAGTGTCTGAAGCTGGATTTGAATTCAGGTCTTCCTGACTTGAGGACTCTATTCACTGGGCCACCTAGCTGCTATAAAAAGTGTCAGAAATGCTAAATATATTAGAATGAGCCGAGGTTGCAGCAGGAAGCTAAGGACAGCAAACATGGAGGTTTTATCTGTATTGGGAGAAAAAAGATTGAAGGACTAGGCCCTTTGCTTAGGGTAGATAGGATGATAGTAACTGATAACAGAGAAGGTAGAACTGTTCAATTCTTTGTGTTTGCACAGTTGAATGACCTTTATAGATAGTTGATACCCAAGATAAGCATATTGTAAGAAAACACCTGGTTGTCCTTGGTATAAATTCAAACCACCTGACCCAAGTGAACTACATCCTGAAAGACCCAGCCAATGTGATTATCTGAAAGAACACAGAAAGTGGGAGATAGACAACAAGATGGGAGAAGGGCAAATATCCCAGAAAAGAGAAGAGAACAGTCTGCAAACTCTAAGCCAATGAGCTTCACTTTGCTTTCTGAGGAAGTTCCAGAACGAATCACTGAAAGGATGATTAGTGAACATATAGAAAAGGAAACAGTGATTCCAAAAAATCAGCAAGGTTTCTTCAGGAACGAGTCTTGCCAGACTAACCTCATTTTCTGTTTTCACAAGATTACTAAAGTAGTAGATATATGGTTTACCTAGATTTAATATGGCTTTTGTTAAAGTATTTATTCTTGTGGAGAAAATGGAGAAACACAGATTGGACAATAATACCATCCAGATGGATTCAGACCTGGTTGTCCATTCAGTGTCAATGTGAAAGAGGTCTCCAGTAGAGTACTCCAGGGATCTGTGCTTGGTCATGGGCTATTTAACATTTTTATCAGTGACTTGGATAAAGGCAGAGATGGTATGTTGATCAAATGTGCTCTTGACAAAGCTGGGGTAGATGGTGAATATAACAGATGACAGAATCCAAAAGGATCTTGACAGACTAGAGCACTAGGCTAAATAGGATGAAATCCAGTACAGATAAATGTAAATGTCTTGCATCTGAATACAAAAAAAAAAACCCAACCCAAACTTTACAATTATAAGATAGGGAAGCCATGTATAGACAGAAGTTGGTCTGATAAAAGATCTTGCAAGCTCACTATGAGTTAGCCGTGTGATGTAGCAGGGGAAAATGCTATCTTGGGCTGCATTAAGAGGGACATAACCTTTAGGGATAGAGAGGTGATAATTCTGCCCTGTTCAGATCTCATTTATAATATTAGAATTCATTCTGGGGGCCATGGTTTTAGAAGGACATTGATAAGATAGAATGTGTTCAGAGGAGAACACCCAGAATGTTGAAGGGCCTTGTCATACAGGGATCAGTTGAAGGGACTGAAATGTTTAGCCTGGGGAAGAGAAGGCTTAGGGAAGATGTGATAGCTGTCTTTAAGTATGTGAAGTGTTATCCTGGTGGAAGAGGGATTAGTCTTGTCTTGTCCCTAGACAGCAGAACCAGGAGTAATGATGATGATGATGATGATAGCTAACATTCATATAGTGATTACCATGTGCCAGGTACTGTGCTAAACACTTGACAATTATTATTTCATTTGATCCTCACAACCACCCTGGGAGGTAGATACTGTTATTATCCCCATTTTGCAGATGAGAAACTGAGGCAAACAGGTGTTAAGTGATTTTCCCAGGGGTCACACAACTAGTAAATGTCTGAGGCTGCATTTGAACTAAGGTCTTCCTGACTCTCTACTTCATCATCTAGTTGACCACTTATGGGGATATAATTGAGGATTCCTTTTCATGTATGGGTTTGACGAGATGGCCACTGATATCTGTCTTCCAACTCTGCAATTCTATGATTTCTAGGTTCACTCTTTCCCGTCTCTTCCCTCTCCAGTCCATCCTTCACGCAGATACCGACGTAATAGTAATAAAATATGTCTTAAGTCACTCCTCTGCTCAAAAATCTCCAGTGGTTCCCTATTGCCTGTAAGATATAATACAACTCCTCTATTTGTCATTTAAAGCCCTTCATT